TAATTCTTTACATCCACCCACTGAATTTGTGGAGTTAGTATCTAATAACACTAGTAATTCCGAACCTTTATCTATTTTTGCTTATGTTCGTCCAACAACCCATGAATCTAAATTATGACAATATTGTAAGGTATTATACCTCTAACAAAATATTCAAGTTGATTAGAGGATATAGAATTTCTAGAAGTTTGGCGATATCAACCTCTTAAGGTAGACTTCTAGATATACTGGTACTAGACATACTCCTACCAAGTATTTAGCTAGGGGTTGGTCTATGAAAAGTAAGATAAACATCTCCATCTTTGTGTTTGAACAATGTCTTGTATTTCATGATGTACTACAGGAATACGAGGCATAGCTTGTTGAAGTTTCCAATGTTAAGGAAATTCAATTGGACAGTTTCAAAAATTTGATACTCGGATTTGCCATCAATGTTCAAAGAATAAATACTTTTACCATGATAAGATTTTTGTTCATGAAGAAAATATTTTTCATATAAAATATCCTGCGGAGTAGGGTCTAGGATAATAATAATGATCGGGAGCAAGTTTATTAATAAAAGAGGTTTGGTTAATAGAGTCTTGAGGAGGGAAATTATGTTGAAGTTAGAGAATATGATGTAATTCGACATCTGCTGGAGAGTCTATTACGTTAATAAAAGAAGATCCTCTAATATTTAAATCTTTCATTTTGGAAAGTAAGGAATTAGCAAATTTTTTATTTTTAGATGTAAATGCTAATTTAAACTAGAGATTGTGACAGGTGGTTTGAGGTTAACATGCTGAAGATGGGATGATTGTACTATTCGCGGAAGGTCACAGTCACGACCTAAACTCGCCCCTAAAGGTTTAGTATCATAACCGGCCAATAATCCGTGATTACCAAAGGCCTGCTTAATAGTAATTGCAATAACACAGTATAAAGGGGGCTGGCGAAAGCCAATCAATAATAAGATGATGTCTAATGAGCTGTGGAGATCTGAATAGAAATAAACTTTCATGCACACAGGCGTATTCACAACCACTTGTACCAAAAATACATATGTAAGCCGTTATGCAAGTTATGGACATAATCCCAGCATCGAAAACTGTATAAACAGAAGTCTTAAACATTCTTTACATTAACAAAGATAAAAGGGCGAATTTGAGTCACCCAAAAAGCCTTGACTCGTGCAAGTTCGGAACCTCGTTATGAGGTACAACGGTTGACTTGACAAAACGTGAGCTCGGGTTGACACCTCTAGCTTTGATCCGGTGCCTGGCCACTTATATATATATATATACAATAAACTGTGAGCTAAAGCTAGTGAATAACGAATGTGTAAAGAGGTTAAGAATGAATGTCCTTTCAGTATTTAAAATAGTCAATTACATTTGTAGATCAGTTATTCAATCAATGTCTCATATTTCATGTCATATCATTCATTTAGAAATCGTAGCAGTCATACGTGGTACATCCAATAGCAGAACAGTACAGTAGGTCTTAATAGACCAAACAGTCAGTTGATGGCCATCAATACAGTAGCAGTAGTTCTAAGAATAGGAACTAACAGAGATCTCTGTAACAATAGCAGTAACAATAACAGTAACAGTAATAGTAGCAGTAACAATAACAGTAATAGTAATAGTACCAGTACCAGTACCAGTAACAGTCAGTTGCTATGGATGCCACGAGTACAGTTCATAAAATATGACAAATATTCATTCGGTAAACAATGTCATTTCAGAAAATAGTACAGTCAATCGTTCAGAAAATAATTATAATTGAACATAGCTTTACAACATTGTTACTCACAGATAACAGGGCAGTAAGCAGGCTATTCAGCTTCCTTGAGGTGCGTAACCTATACAGTTACAGAACGAACATATACTAAATTACACACCCGGAGTTGATAACTTAGTCCTCTCTACTTGTTTTTGGTGTGGTTCTACTTCATTAACCTCATTATGATGTCTTAATCATTGCCTAGGATGGAAATATGGTGTAAAATATACTTGAAAATGTTTTTTAAAACTTGCTGAAAACAGGGGTCTCGCTCGAGCGTAGCTTTCTTCGCTCGAGTGGATATACCACATGTTAGTGGTTGCTCGGGCGCACACTCCCTCGCTTGAGCGGTCTGCAAAATGTGAAAAAGTTCTGGTTGCGTGCAATTTCTGCTCGACGGTCGCTCGAGCGTGAGACACAGGTCTTCGCTCGAGCTCAAGTCTTGTTGTTCGAGTGTGCTTCCAAACACGCAAACTTCTAAGAGCATGCAATTTACGCTCGAGCCAACCTTTCGTCATTCGAGCAGAAGTGTGAAAATAAAGGTGATCACTCAAGCGTGGAATCCTTCGCTCGAGCGTGGAAGCAAAATTCTGGGTTTTCCAGATCTGCTCCCAAAGTTCAAAACATGAATTCAACACTCAAAAACTCATCATTTTGGGCCAAAATTCTGAAAAACATTTAGAAACTCATAACACATCATGATTTAAAGATCTTTTCATAAAATCAATGCCCAAAAACATGCCAATTGTACACAAATTCAACTTAAACTTTATGAATGTTTCAAGAATATAACATGCATGAATTTTCTTTAACTTCACCACTTCAAAACATGATCAAACTTGGCAAATTAATAGAAAACACGATGACTTCTTACAATTAAGCTTAATCTAGGACATGCATAAGAGAATTCTTAGCAAACATGCTCCAAATGTAATGAAATGAACATGCATGCATGGATTAATCTTCCTTCTTACTTCTTAAGTTTAATTCTTACATCTCATAGCTCAATTCACTTGATTTCATAGATGAATCAACTTAATTTCAAGACTAGGGACTTGACTTCTTACCTTTGATGTTCAATTGGGTCCTTGATGCCAAATTCTTGAGCTAAATGATCAATCTCCAAGGTCCCTTCTTTTATTCTAGCAATTTCTTTCAATTGAGTTCAATTCTCATGCTTAAGACTAAATCTCCCTACTCTCTCACTTTCTCACAATTTTTGAGCATCAGAGAGTAGGAAATGAGAGTGTAAAGCCAAATAAAGGAGTTAAAGTAGCCTTATATAGGCTTAATTATAGTGACTTAATTAAATTGACTTATATTAATCACATTGGCACTAATTATTTTAATTTTATTTGTTCCGAATCGAATTTTAATCAAACCTGCCATAAAATTCTATAAATCGTAATTAACATATAAGTCAAGTCAATTTTTGAATCGGATGCCGATAAGGCCTTCAATTCGCAAATCGAAACCAAAACATGAGCATGTCTTTCTACATCAAACAGATAAAATGCATTTAAAGCAACACACTCAAGTAATTAATTTAGGATTTTGTCTTAGTCATTTACTTAACATGCTTAATCAGGAATTAGTATCAATCATGGGTTGGGGTTGTCACAGTCACTTTTAGTGGGTATAATGTCTATAGATTTGTCAATACGAGTTAATTGGGATCCAATAGTTTGAAAATGGAGGTTAATTGTAAATTATTAAAAAGATAAATTACCTTGATCACTCTTGAGATTTTGAACAAAAAAAAATGCAACAAGTATCATAATTTTTATATAATTACGTTAGTATCATATTTTGTAAAATTAAAATGATCGAAAGTAATGCAAATAATGAAAGAATACATAAATAAATAAAAGGGTAAATTGCAAATACACCATTTGAGGTTTGCTTAAAGTACATATTGTCCCCTGTGGTTTGCAAAATTACAAACACCCCATTGTTAAAATTTTTAATTTAACAGAATGAACTAAAAAAATAAAATTCATAATTGCTTTTCTATACAATAATCGAGTTACATAAATTGTTAATTAAAATATATTTCTAATATTATTTAAAACTATTAATTGATTTGATGGTTTATTAGTAAAAAGGACGATTTGTTATGAAATTAGAAACGTTAGGGGATGGAATATAATTTTCAAAACTACATGAGTCGATTTGTATTTTAATCAAACCTCATGAGTTGTATTTGTAATTTACTCATAAATAAATAAGACAATATATTTTTACTATAGAAAAATAACAACACTTTTTCATAAAAAAAACTACTTATCAGTGGTACTATTAGAAAATTATTCAAAATTAATGAAAAAAATTTATAACTTTAATTATTAACGTGTACAAAGTTTACAATTTATTTACAATTATTTTAAAAAATCTAAATTGAAATTTATAATTTTTTAATCTACATAACCAACAAATTAATTATAAAATGAACAACATAATTAATTAAAAATGATATTTTATCTAAATATGAAAGGTGGTTAGTGTAATTTATCCTTACCCTTATTAGAACATCTCCAATAATTAACTATTTTTGTCATTAATTTTAAAAGAGAGATTTATTAGAAAATCATTTTTCAAGTGTTTTGTATCATAATTCTATAAGATATTATTATAGTCCAATAAGTCATATTATTTGAATATTTGATCTACCAAATCCTAATTCTCATATTTAAAGTATTTTATGAACATTTCTACATTTACAAATATTTTTTGAATGGTTAGCAATTTGATAATGTGAACATTCATATTTTATAATGTGAATATTTACATTGATGTGTGAATGTTCGCATTGACAGAGAAAACATTAACATTACAGAATATTCACACTGTGCATGTGAATATTATTAAAGGTATTTTGATAAGTATGCCACTCATAAGACTTATTGAAATATAATAAAATAATTTGAACTAAATAGAATATAAATAAATAAAAAAGGATTTATGAAAAAGTGTGACATTTTAAAATTGAAGAAAAACTCTACAAAAACTATTAAATTAAATAAGAAACTCTATTTTTCTTCAAATTATAATATAATGAAATTTTTTAAAAGTAAAGTATTGGATTTGTTTTTATTAGTAAAGGATTTGTTTTTATTAGTAAAGTATTGGATTTGTTTTTATTATAAAAATTGATAGAAAAACAAAATGAGTATAAAAAAAAAAATAAAAAAATTATTAAATGGTTGGAGAATTTGACATCAAAAAAATAAAATTTGTTACACAGATCAAATCAAAATATCGGATACGGACCTGATCAGATCGTGGTTCCAAAAACCCTAACCAGATACGGACCTGATCGGAACCATCACGAAACCGACTCATCGGCAACAACCGACGAACTGTGAGACCCCCATAATAAACTCGATTCATTACCAGACGTGAATTTGTAGTGTTCTCTCTCTGTCTCTCTCTCTCGCTCTCTCCATATGCAATTTCGATGGCGAAGAACTACGTGAGAGAGAACGTTCCTCTATCAAGATTCGGCGTATTGGTGGCCCAGTTGGAGTCCATTGTCGCCTCCGCAGCTCACAAGCTCCCCGACGCCCTCCTCTGCTTCGATCTCCTCTCTGATCTCGTTTCCGCCATTGACGAAGAGCCCAAGGTCACTTCACATTTATTTTTCTTCTCCAGATGCTTACTACTTTTTGCGTTCTTTCTTTCTCTTCCATTCACTCGACTTATTTGATTTCATTATTGTTTGATGTATAACTGGCTAATGTCACGAATCATTGCCATTGATGAAGAGCCCAAGGTCACTTCACATTTATTTATCTATCTATCTTCTCCAGATGCTTACTACTTTTGCGGACTACCTCTATCTTCAATTCACTCGACTTATTTGATTTCATTCTTGTTTGATGAATAATTCACGAATCATTCAGAACATACATGTCATTGGCTTTATTTTGATCATAATTTAATCAAAGATTGCTTTCACTATTATTACATGATGTGCAATTGGTTAACTGTAAAATAGCCAATAATTTGTTCACATTTTAATGTTAGGAGTTGATGATTCAATAATGCTCCACTTACCATATTTCTATACTATACCTATTAACTGCATTGAATCAAATGGTAAAAATAGATGGATATTATAGAATATTACTCGTTGATGATTTCATTGGTTTTTACTTTATTTCTGCAAGTAGAAGTGGAAGTGGAAGTGGCCAGTGTAAGTAACCCATTTGAATTTTTTGAGTGTGAAATTTCAGGAATCTATACTTTTATGGCAAAGGAAATGCGAGGATGCACTTTACTCTTTGCTTGTTCTTGGTGCTCGGCGGCCTGTGCGTCATTTGGCATCAGTGGCAATGGCAAGGATTATAATGAAGGGTGATGGCATTTCAATATACTCAAGAGCAAGCAGTCTCCAAGGGTTTCTCTCTGATGGGAAGAAAAGCGAGCCTCTACGAGTCGCTGGTTGGTCAAAATCATTTTATGTTTTATTTCAAATACATGCAAGTACATTGTAATTTATTATGTTATGTGTTGTTGAGTGGAATAATTTATGATTGTTCTCTATAGCATTTACCAGTTTCCTGCATGCCATTGGAAATATTAATGATAAAAGTAGATGAAATCTGGTTAGTTGATTTGTTTGCCCCCTTCTTTTTGGGGTTATTGTTGGTCAATTAATTTCCTACTTTATGTTACTTTGGATATCCATGTTTGTTTAATTGTCCATAGCGCTTCTAGACTTTTCAATGAGCCCAGTGCTTGTAGGTTGCAAACCATAAATAGTGATGCAAATTGAATTTTAGAAAATAATTATTTTTATTTTATTATTTTAAAATTAATATTTGACTAGGAATATTCTAAGTTGGTATAGAATATTATGGTTATTTAGTTTCTTGATTTAATATGATGTAGTTTTCCTATTTTATTAGTTTTTATTTTATTTCCTATTTTATTAATTTATTGTTTTACAAGAATTAGATTCATTATAAATAAAGATGTAAGCCATAGGGCAAGGGGGAAAGTTTTTGGGAATTAATATTTCTAGTTTTATATTCTTTTGTTCCAACCTTGGGATACTCTGTGAATCAACCAATGTTGAGCTTTTATTCTCGGTATTCTTTGTGAATCAACGATTCTAGGGAGGAATCTTACTTCCAGTATTCTTATTTGAATCAACATATTTTAAGATTGTTATTATTTCACGTTTTGCGTTGCATCAGTTGGTATCAGAGCTTGCTACGTTCCTGCTCCATGCTTAGGAGTCACAGTGGTGCTCGGGAGGTTCTTGTGAAGGAAGATGTAATAGATGATGATTCTAACCTGCTGAGTTTTCATAGTGAAAGATTGATGAGAGATCATGAATTGAAACATTTTAAAAACTCATGTAAACCTAATCATTAAACAAGATGATATGATTAAATGGCCATTCACATCAAAAATTATTCTGGATCTGATTGTGGATTGGAGTAAACCACCGATTTTTGATGATGAACCATTCATTGATGGAACTAATAATATGTTTGATCATATTTTGTTTGTTGGAAGCATCAATCAAAGTTAGAGAAGGGTTGGTGTTAATTTTATTTATGCGGAAGATCAATGTGTACTTGGTTTACATGAGTTAAATGAGTAGTCAAAATCAATTTACAATATGGAGAATGTTGTCTATGATCCATTTGAAGAGAAATTTTATGAAGAGTTTACAAATTTGAGTTTGAACCGTTCGGATTTGGGCTTTGATGAAGATGTGTTAAATTTGTTAACGAAAGTTGTTCCTTTAATTTTAGAAGACTCTTCTTTGAAGTTTAGATTTGAGAAAATTAACCTCAAATACAAGGTTGATGCGGATCAGTGCAGACGTGCCAAGTTATTTCAAGCAATGGAAACTGGAGGATGAGTTTTCTCAAGAGGGGAAGAACGATGCAGTCTGAATTTTAGAAAATAAGTACTTTTATTTTATTATTTTAAAATTAATATTTGACTAGGAATATTCTAAGTTGGTATAGAATATTATGGTTATTTAGTTTCCTAATTTAATATGATGTAATTTTTTTATTTTATTAGTTTTGATTTTATTTCCTTTTTTATTAGTTTCTTGTTTTACAAGAATTAGGTTCATTATAAATAAAGATGTAAGCCTTAGGGCAAGGGGGAAAGTTTTTGGGAATTAATTAGTGTGTTTGGTTTCAGTTTTTTGAAAACTTAGTTTTTTTGTTTTTCATGTTTTTTTGTTTTTAGTGAGTATTTTTAAAATTTTAAGTATTTTTTTTTTACTTTTTTAGGTGCACCTTACTTAGATGTTTCTAAAAAGTAAAATATTTGTGAAAGCATATTTTAAAAAATTAATAAATGCACAAAAATATCCTAATTTTTTGTTTTTTGGATATTTAGTGAATTTTTTAAAGATTTTTTTCACGAAAATTATACTTTTTAAGTGTATTTATGTTAGGTGTGTCTAAAAATTAAAAAAGTTGCTTAGAATATTAAAAAAATTCAGCAAAAACAAAAAAATACGGAAAACAGGGAAGTGAGAATTTCTGAAAAAGTGTTTTAAAAAAATTGGAAACAAACATGGTGAATATATGTCGAGTTTTATACTCTATTGTTCCAACCTTAGGTATTCTTTGTGAATCAACCATTTTTGAGCCTTTATACTCGGTACTCTTTGTGAATCAACGAGTCTATAGAGGAATCTTACTTTCAGTATTCTTATTTGAATCAACTAAATTTAAGATTGTTACTATTTTGCGTTTCGCGCTGCATCAAATAGCTTGTTTCTTGCTTATTTAAGGTTTCTATGCAATTAGAGGTTGGTTGAGGTGGGTTTGTCGGACAAACTTGAAAGCTTATTAGAGTGGGACACTTTTTTTTTTTTTTAATTTTAATTTTTAACTTGTTTATGCCACGAAATAGGTTGTTGATAAATCAGTATCTAACTGTGTCGGTCATATTGGTTTGGACTTGGGCAATACCACCAATTGTTCTTTCATATATCTCTTCGCTTGGATCATTTGTGGTAGCCTGCAAATGATGGAACTCATAAATGCCAAAAGGGCCACTGTACAAGGTGAATGATGGGGTGCTTCCACTAGGAGCTCGGGTTTAATCTCAACTTAGGATGTGTTGGGGGCACCCTGTCATTGGAAAGTGGGTCACAATCAAAGGCATAACTAGAAATAGTTTTCAGAAGAGCAACCTAACTTGTTATTCACTTATCCAAAACCCGTGCTCCAAATTGATATTCCAATTGTTGTACATAAACAAACACACGTACATATATTATGTGATTGAGTTCCGAATTTCAGTTTTTCCTGCTTTGTTTGTTGCATAGTTACATAATTTTTCTCAGTTATGTACAACCTATGATGTTCTGTGAAACAAATTTGTAGGTGCTGCACAATGCTTGGGTGAATTGTATCGCTATTTTGGGAGAAGAATAACTTCTGGTCTGCTTGAAACAACTATTATTGTGACAAAACTGATGAAGTTTACTGAGGTAAGTCCCCCAACAAATTGCAACTTATTTGAAGTAATTGGTTATTCATACTATTTCTCACATACTTGTCTGTTTAGTTAATGTTAGAATGTTTTAACTTTATATACTGTTATTCTGTATGGGGCATGCTTGACATAGCAAAGATCAATGGAAAAGTAATGGTAGCTGTTCTAAACGAAATTTAGGCTATTTAAAAACTGTGTCAGTATCTTAATGAAAAAGGAAAGCTCTGAAAGGGACAGTGTTGGCTTCCTTGTTTTTTCGGCTTGGAGATTAATTTCCCTTCATTGTATTGTTTTGTAGTTTTTGGGGGATTTGTACATTCTTGTAGATATATAGGATTTGTTTTCTTTTCCTATTTGTATTATTCACGTGTACAAGTTTGTGCCCCTTCTGGCACTTTTGTATAATACTTCTACTTATTAATGAAGGAAAGGTCACAAGAGTTATCCAGAAGAGAAATATTATTTGAAATGGTCCATCACAACTTGGACGGCTGCGTCAGTCATTTTCTTATTTTGAAGAAAGTACGGTTTCTTTATTGCAACTGTTTCTTGGTACAGTTTAAAAACAAAGCCTCCTTTAGTTGGTTCATCAGCGGAAACCAAGGGTTATAAATTTTTAAACAGTTTATTGGATTGTATATTGATGCAATGTTCATAGTTTGTTGCTTCAAATGTGATCCCCATTCATGTCAGATGGTTTTTGTTTCCTCACTCCAATTATTATTATTGTTATTATTATTTTTAATTTATTGTTTACTTCCATATTTAACCACTTGGATCTTCAGGATTTTGTTAGGCAGGAAGCTTTGCATATGCTTCAGAATGCTTTGGAAGGCTCTGGTGGTAGTGCTGCTGCTTCAGCGTATTCAGAGGCATTCCGTGTCATAATGCGGTTAGCTGTTGTGGACAAATCATTCACAGTAAGAATAGCTGCTGCAAGATGTCTAAAGGCATTTGCAAATATTGGAGGACCAGGTTTAGGAGTTGGAGAGCTTGACAATTCTGCTTCACATTGTGTGAAGGTAGGTGTTTTCTCTGTCATTTTCTGTGGGTTTCTTTTTCTGAAATCAGTTCTGTATCTGAGGCTGCATTTGTTAGGCCCTTGAGGATCCTGTTTCATCTGTTCGGGATGCCTTTGCTGAAGCTTTAGGTGCAGTGCTTGCTCTTGGAATGAATCCTGAGGCACAGGTGTCTGTCTCAAAATGTTATATCTGATTATTGTTTTCAGTTTTTGTTGGTGCATTCTCATGTTTCACTATTCTTACTAGGTGCAACCAAGGGGAAAAGCTCCATTTACTCCAAAGAAACTTGAAGGGGGTTTACAGAGGCATTTAGTGTTGCCCTTCATGAAAGGTATTTCCATCTGGATCAGTACTGCACTCATCATAGTTTTTCATTGGGAGTTTACAGGTTAAAACAACCTATCGTAGTCGTCTTCAATTGAAGCTTTCTTTTGAATGCCTATTTTGCTAGTTCACCGAGGTTCATTGTCCCACCAAAAAAAAAAAAAACCGAGGTTCTAGAAAACCTTTAGTGATTTTTCAAATGGTTGGTGGTGGAGGATGTCTGGATCTAAAAGGAGTATGGGAGAAATATTGAACAGGATTAGACCAAATGTTAAGGTCCCATAATGAGAGTTCTGGTTTAAAGGAATGAGAAATATCCTTACATAGGATTCCTGGATAAGGATAACAAATCATTATTACATCCATTGCATTATAGAATTCTTGCTGTGAACAAAATGCTTCTATTTAGAGAACATTTTTATAAATTAATTGATACAATTTTCTTTCATTTTTGATTCTAATGAAATTAGCAATGAGTGGGTGATAAAGGATGGGTGTGGATAACACTCTCCTACTACAAAAGAGCCCAAAACTAATGTGTGACAGTGGTTAAAAGGACTTTCAAGCGCTAGGTATGGTGAGTTTTTGTGGCAAAAAAATATTCATAAAAAATTGATGTATTAAGGGTTTGTATTGGGATAACAAATGGGTGGGGCTTGAGAGCTTTGATTAAGCAAGAAAAGAAGGGATTATGAGGCTGCTCTTGGTGCTGTTCACAGTGATTTTGCTGTTCTGGTTTGTTTCAAATGATTAATTTCTAAGATTGAAGGATGGATTGAATAGTCTTGTTCAATGGGATTTATTGGGGGACAGGTTAAACAGTGGTTCTGCAGAACTGGTTTGGGGGCTACAAAAGCTCTAAATGTGCAGAAAATTTAGAGAAGATGGACAAAGAAGAAGAACCTAGGTATCATACCCAGGTCAAAGTTGCATCACATATGTTGCACGGACTCTTTAAAATAAATTAATACCCGTGTCGGATATCTGACACTCGGACAAGGGTATGGGATATGTATCAGATATTTTTCAACGGACACTTCTTATATAATTGTATATAATATTATTATTATATGTACATATTGTTGTATAATTGCAATAAATATCTTTTTGACCCGGTAAGTTACATTTAGCATCATTTAATCTCACATATTTGATTAAAAATAAAAAATGTGACATTTTTTTACCCTTAAATCCATGGTTTGATGAGTCCGACCTTTAGATACATACCCGTACCCGACATCCGTACCCGAGTCCATGTAACATAATCCAAACCAAGCTTCAAAGCTTTGTAGATTTCTGTGAAATTGATCTTATTGTAATTGAACCATTACATGGGCTGACATAGGCTTCTAAGAACTCCTAGATCTAATAGGACTTAACTCCTGATTTGAAAACTAAAGACTTAACTTCTAAATTTTATTTAATCCTACTACAAATCATATAGAAAGAAAGACCTAATAACCTAACTGCACCTGTGTTGGAATTTGGGCAGCTACTACAGCTTATGTCCAGAAATTCTAAAATTATAAAATATCCCTTGCTTATGAAACATTAGAAACCATAGAGAAAGTTGCTTAGTTTTGTACTTGGCCAAAACAACCATAAAATAAGACTACCATGGCTATCGACAAGACTTGACTGGCTCTGCATGATTTTAGCAGGCTTTGCCTGTGCCAATTCAAAAACTTTATGGTTTTAATCACCCCTAACGGTGAATATTCAATAACTATTCTTGTCCTTTTGGTTCCTATTATTATGTTATTTATTCTTCTTAGTATCCACCTGTATCTGATCAGTTGGTCAAATTGCATCAGGTGGGCCTCGGTTGAAAGACATTCGAATTGGCCTAACCTTATCATGGGTATTCTTTTTGCAGGTAGATTCTGATACCCAAATCCCCCCCTCCCCTCTTCATCTTCTTTCCCACGCCCCTTCCCATTTTGTATTTGTGTTTCAAAAGCCTTTGGAATCTTGATATGTTTGGAATCTTGGTATGTACATATGGATAGGTATACATTTGTGTGTGCTTTTATGTGTATCTATATATGCATATATATATATATATATTGTATGCATCATTGAAGTTTTTTGAAATGGTTGGTCATGCTAAACTGTTCAATTTGTTTTGCTAGTTACTTGTGTTATTGTCTGCAACAGCTCTGCACTTTTTCTTCTAAGGTCTGAACTGTTTCATTTTTGTTTGTTTGGTATTTTGTATTCTCCCCAGTAGAGATGACAAGCAGTTGGGGTTGGAAATTTATTTATTTGGGTTTACCTTGCATGCAAGTACTTACAAACTTGCTGCATAAGTGGAGTTGTTTGGAACCAGAAAATGGCGGTCATGGTTAATGTGTTGTATACTTGTGTTTGCTTGGTGGTGTAGATTGATGACCATAGATCTCCTTTATTAATTCTTTACGATTTTAAAATGCTTTTCACTTTTATTGGTTGCTTTTCTCATTTCATGATTGTTGTGGCTAGAATTGCATAATTTGAACTTGTAACTTTGCATATGAACATCCGTCTGCAAATTTTCAGTGTCTGGCTCTACTATTTAGAAGATCATTAATTTCTGTCTATGTTTCTTCAAGTTTTTGTCTATGCTTTGGAAGTGATATTGGAGTTTTTGAATTTGCTTTGTGTTTTTGGCAGTAGTTTTTTCATTTGTGCTTTAAATTATATCTTCCAGGTCATTCGTCTGAAGTATATGCATCCAGATAGCGAGCTTCAAAACTTTGCTTTGCAGGTTATGGAACTGCTTCGTGTGGATAGTTCTGCCGATGCACAAGCATTGGTAATTTTTTTAAAACAAATTTGCAACTTGAACTTTAATTTTCCCCCTAATTTGATGAGATGGTCATTTGAGTAAAGATCTGATCAGCCGTTAGTGTGGGTCTGAATTATTTGATTGATGAGAGAGAACCACCAAAAAAAAAAATATTTTTAACATTATCTTTTGTCACCTAGAATATGATGTTTGTTTTTCATATGGTTGTATGTGTATGGACAATGTTGTGAGATGACATGGCCACATCAGTAAACATTGAATTGGTATGCTGCAATTTATTGTGCAACCTGACAATGATATCGCTCTGATGCATTGGAATCATCTATTAGAACGAAAGTGATCTGATAAAAACTTTTTCATGGTGTAATGCTTTAGTGTAGAAAATTTCATCAAGATGTATTGCTTTTCCACATCTTACTAATAACAATGATGAGGAAAGCAAAAATGGTCAATGATTTTCCCAAGTCGGAAACTTCTTTGTTTGGTAGAGTAGAACCTCAACAGTTTCTCGACTATGAAGCATGGATTGGGTATGGATGTTGGTACGGGTATACCCATGCAACAAAGCATAAAAAAAAGTAAAATATGGGTACGGATTGAATACGTTCATAAAAAATATATTTTAATAATTTGTAGTAGTGCATGATACATAACAAATAGAAATCAAATGCAAAAAATAGTTAAATTAAAGCAATAGACGGAGAGAGTACCGAGAGAGAGATAGAAACTCAACTGATAGAGAGAGATACAATTGCTCAATCTGTAAACACTAAAGAGAACCCTAAATATTCCCTCAAATTTGAGATATTTGCAAAAATACTCTTTATTTTTGGAGTTTTTAAAAATAGGCATAGTACATTTATTCCAGTAACCCTATATTTTTAAAATAATTATATTTATGCCTCGACGCACCCACAAAAGTACCCGATATGTACACATGCTGTACCCAACATTCAAATTTTTTTTTTCTTTCAAAAATACCAGATACATATTTTGCATACCCATTATGCGTGTAGCTGTACTGGATATGTATCCTGTGCTCTTACGAATAATTTTTGGAGTACCCATGGTTCATAGTTTCTCAATAACCCTATCAAGTGCTGACAATTTAATGATTCCTTGAATTTTCTAGTGTGTGTTGGATAATGCATTTGGTTGACACTTTTATATCCACTTAGGAACTTTAAGTCAAAAAGACCTGGCCTTTCACTTATCACTGAACACACTCAGTGGATAGTATTTCTAATTAAAATTTTCTACCACATTATGTTTTACGACCTGATGTGGCACATTCATACTGCTTGGATATAAATGGCTCTCAAGTGGGATCCATTGTATTAATGGTTTTGGGTTTGGCACATCAGATGGCAAACAAAACAAAGGAGGTCATCCTATCATTATTGTAAATTTTAATTGAATAGTTTATGCTCCGATGCTATCCGGAGGTCATCCTAGCATTATTGTAAATTTTAATTGAATAGTTTATGCTCCAATGCTATCTAAAAAGTCTTTGGTACTAATATTCAACACTGAAAAGTACTTGTTCCAAATCCAGTTTGATTAAATCCCCCTTTAGTGTAGAAGACTAAATTTTATAAGGAAGTCCTCAAGTATTGGTGATTGTCATTGCAGTTGACCTGCTTTTTTTTTGCCCCCCTTCATATACAGGTTACATTTGAACATGATCTTAGTAGAGTGATTTTATCTGTTAGTTTGGTTTCTTCAATTTACTTTAGTTAATCAAAAGAACAGTTGTTTATCCCTTAATTATTTTGGAGATTTCATGGTTCTTCTATTTAGATAGCATAGGAATTTGCTGCAAAAGTTGGTCTACGCAACCACACAACTTTTCATTTTTTGTTTTGTTCTTTTTTCTCCTTAATTAATTTGTCTGGGTAATAACCAGGCACATTTAGTCCATATGAGCTGCTTTACAACCTACTAGTTCAATATATTTCACAATTCTGAAACAAAATGTTTTATGTTTTGAGTAAGCATTCTTACATTCCTGTTGTCAAAAATTGGACTGCTACTTTAGTATTTATTTCTATATTGTTTACATTGCTTATGGTTAGACATCTCATCTTATTAATGTTCCATTTCTTGAAACCAAAATTTTCTCTAATGCATTTCCTGGTTATTTGAAGGCTTGCGTTCTTTATATTCTTCGAATTGGCGTAACTGATCAAATGACGGAGCCTACTCAGAGGAGCTTTCTAGTTTTTTTGGGGAAGCAGGTTTACTGAAGGGATTCATTTTAGCTTTTTTTTTTTTTAATTTTTTTATATATATATTTTTGGCTAATTACATTTTAGCGTCTTGTTTAAAATGAACTTAATTCGAGTCCTTAAATCTTTATCTGTTTTGAGATGTGTTCTGTTCAATGACATGGCAAAAGGTTTTTGTTGCAGCTTCAATCTCTTGATGCCAGTCCTTCCATGAAAGTTGTTGCCTTACGTACCTTGTCATATGCTCTGAAAACTCTGGGAGAGGTGAGTTTGTTTCATGATGATGTGAGATGCTACTAGATCTTACTTACTGGCTATCAAGGTTTTAAAAAGTAGCCGCAACCGTTACGTAACGCCGTTATGTAACGGTTTTGGTGGTTACCGCCACCCGTTACAGCCGCTTTTGTAGTATGTTCGAGATTCATAGGTGTGTCGGCCGTAGCGGCTGCCATAGTGATCGTAATGGTGCCGTAACAGCCGTAACGGCCTGTTACGCACCGTTACGTAATGGTTTTGAACTATTTCTTTTGAAAAAACAAAAAATAAGCTGAAAATGGGGGAAGATGGATAGAGAGAAGATCGAAGATCAAGAGAGAAAATGAAGGAGGAAGAGATAGAGAGAGAGAGAGAGAAGAGGGAAGATAAAGAACATGCTATTGATTTGTTGAAACTGTAAGACCTATGCTATTCTATTCAGTTGCTATCACTCAACCATTTTATTTGTGTGTCTATCTATATATTGTTTAATAATAATAATAATAATAATAAAGTGTGGTCATTATCTATTTGGCTTGGTTAAAATATGTATATATATATATATATATTTAGGCTCTTATTTATTCTTTTATTTTTGTCATTGTTTGTCTTATATATAATAGTTAGTGATTGATTTTTTGTATAATATAAAGTCATTAATTATTAAAATAAAATGTAAAAAACTCAGTTTATAGTGATTTAAAAATATGAAATAGATTAGATCATACTTAAAAATTTACAAAAATTGATCAATATTTATTTTAAACCCAATAAATATGATCATGGAAAAAAAAATATGTGTATCGGTAAGTTTTTTTCAAATTGTGCGAAAAATAAAAAAATTTACGGTTCCGGTTATCGCAACCGTTACGCTACGGCCTTCCCCCCCCCGCAACCGCAACCGCAACCGCTCCACCGGCACCGTTACGTCAACCGCAACCGCTTTTCAGAATCTTGCTGGCTATGGATCTGTGATCAAAGCATTTTGCTATTTTTTGTTGGCATTTGAAACAGTATCTAGAGATGAAGGGGGTGTTTGTTTGGGCTTTTTTCAGCCAACTTATAGCTTTTAGCTTTGGAAAAGTTATTTTGGACTATTTGATTAAATTTATTTCAAACAATTTCTGATTCTAACAACTTATTTTAACTCAAAAAAGCTGATTCTGAGAAGTTGTTCACCCCTTGCTTCTGATTATTAGCTTCTGCTGTGGATATGTTAATTTAAGGTTGTACTCTTAGATTTTTTTATTTTATATTTTTTAAGAAATAGAAAAAGACCCAAATGGACTATAGATTATTATTATTATTATTATTTGTGAGAAATGTAGACAAGTAGTGTATAACAAAAAAATAAAAGTTAATTAAAAAAACTATTTCACAGGTTATTTAACAAACACTACTCAGCAATTCAAATCTGTAATCCAACAGGTACACCAAACAGATTAACAACTTCTGATTAAAGTCATAATTTATAATCTATTAAGGTATAATGTATAATCTGTTTTAACAGCTATACCAAACGGGGCCGAAGAATTCTACAACTGCATCAAATTTTTCCTTCCCAATTTTGATTTTATGGTAGTAGTGTAGTACAACAACAAAGTGGATTATGGGGCCAATTTTAACAGGACTGTTTTTCTTTAGAGATCTTGTGCTTATGTAATAATTTGCTTTGTCAATCGTAATGGTTATTGAGGATATGATAAAGTTGTCCCTTTTCTAACAACTTAAACTTTTAGATGAGTTGGTAGTCAATAATTCAACATGGTATTAGAGTAGTAATAGATCTTGTGTTTGAATCTCGCCAGCCACCTGATACTTATAATATTTGATATTTGTATGTGTTTGGCTCGCTCATGGAGAAAAGTCTAACCACACGTGAAACATGGTGTTGGGGATATAAATAATAAAGTTGTTTCTCTTTCTAACAACTTAAGCTTTTTGATGAGTTGGTGGTTAACAATTCGAAAATGATTAATTGTGGAAAGTAAAAATGTGCAAAAGTCAAATTTTAGCATCAAATTTGCAATAAAAAATGCACACATCATTGGTAAATGACTTCTTGAGATTAAGGAAAAGAATCTAGCAGACTATAAGTAGCTGCCTAAAATTTGTGAATGCACTCCTTTGCTTGGCTTTTGCATATTTGGTTTCTAAGATATACTGTTGTGATTTGGCCTGATTAGATAGTCATATGTTTTTTGTATCAAGTTTGTTTTCAAGGGAACTGCATGTTTTGACTTCTTGGAACTTTTATCAACACAATAGTTTTTTTAAGAGTAGTGATTTGATCTGTCATTTGCAGGTTCCGCTTGAATTCAAAGAAGTTCTTGATGACACCGTTGTTGCAGCATTGTCTCATTCTTCACCACTCGTAAGATTTGGGCTGTGCTGGTCTTAGTTTATGCTTCTTAGTAGTTTTTTATTGGATATCTCATTCTTCACCAATTGTAAGACATGTGATTCAGTAGTAAGTCGGATATCTACTTAAGATATATTCATACAATAATCCGTTTAGACTTTTGTCAGAGTCGTGATTTCCTTTCTCGTTGCTTTTAAGGTCCGAATATTTAAGATGTATTCATCAATAATCCCTTTAGACTTTTGTCATAGTCATGATTTCCTTTCTCATTGCTTTCAGGAATTTGTTTAGAATATTGGATATGTTGAAATTGTGTGAATTCATATAACATTGGTTCAATAATGATGTGATCGTGATTAAGTATTTCATGTATTAAACAAACTTAAAACTTTAGCTATTATAATTTGAGATCACTTGCAAATAAAAATTACTTTACCTCCCTAAGCTTTTTAATAATTTCAGTGATTTCCTTTGATGTTCAAGAAACAACACTTACATGCACACCTCAAGTTTGCTAAATGATCATATTTCTTCCATTTGGCAGTTAATTGTCAAATATGGCAATATAAAGTAATGACATCACTAAAATTTTAATTCCATTAATTTTTTTCCCTTGCTATTTGTAAGAAATAATGTATAGAGAAAGAGAGAGAATAAATTGTATGTATTATTATTGATTGATATATTGATTGATAGATTACAAGATGCATTAATTACAATTCCTATACAATCTATATATAGAAGAAAATGTGGTAGTAGGTGTAGTGGAGGTGATAGTGGGTTAGGTGAAGTGGAGTGTGTAGTGGAGTAGAGGTAGGTGAAGTGGAGTGTGTAGTGGAGTAGGTGAAGGTAATGTGGTAGTAGGTGTAGTGGAGGTGATAGTGGGTTAGGTGAAGTGGAGTGTGTAGTGGAGTAGGTGAAGGTAAAGATGGGAAATTCTAACACTATTTTATTTACAAATATGGATTATATCAAGTACTCTATTGTATATTTTTTTTGTTGGGAAGAACCTAAATGGGAGCTAGGATGTGTTGTCCTCATAGAGGAAATTAGTTGAGTTGGAGATAAAAGGTAAGATAATTATGGATAAGAGAAGGTGAAAAAATACCGAATTTTTCCTTAGGTTGGAAAATGCGCATAAGAGGTCCAATCATAGAGGGAGATGAAGACATTAGGGAGGGGGTGGTTCAATTTATCAAAACCTATGCTTGGAAGGTGGTAAACGGCCTTATTTTGATGGGTTGGACTTTGGTTCTACCTCAGAGGATGACACAGGTGGGTTGGAGAGACCTTTATCTGTGGAGGATGTGGAGGCTGCTTTGAAAAGTTGCAATGGGGATAAGGCTTCCGGGTCTAGAAGGGATCATAGGATGTCCATGGCTTTTCTCGAAGCCGGATGGGAATTTCTAGGTATGATGCATTGTTTCCATGAGTATAACTTTTGAGAAGACTCTTAATGCCTGTTTTATTTGTTTTAGTCCTCGAAATGAGTGGTGTAGTAGAGCTATGGACTCTAGATTTGTCAACATCATGGGATGTATGTACAAAATAAGTAGATAAAGTTCTTACTCTTCGTATGTAGTTTTGCTGGCTAGTGAGGTGGTGGACTCTCTTAGACACAGCGAAATCCCTGGTGTAACTTGTAAGTTAGACATAGAGAAGGCATATGACCATGATATTTTGAGGGAGATCTATTATTTTTGCTTTGTATACTGGTTACATATGGAGGATGCAACCCTTATGGCCCCTTTTATGAATATATACTTCATCAACAAAAAAATAAAAAAATAAAAAAATAAAGGATTTGTTATTTTCTCTTTATAGGAGGCATGCAAGCAGTTTTGGCTATTGCTTGGGTTCAATTTATGATTGGTTGTAGTGAAATAGATTGGAAACTCTTGAGCTGATTTTATATATTGGATTGCCCATGGTTTTGATGACAATGATTACCAAAGGATACATTGCAAATATAATAACTTAATTGAAAAATCTTTTATTAATTATAGGGTTCTTATAATCCCTTTGCTTTATTGTAATTTTTATGCTTTTCCCTTGCTAACACAATAATGACTGGAATATTTTTGCTAGGTTCGGGTTGAAGCTGCATTGACTTTGCGTGCACTGGCTGAGGTTGATCCCACCTGTGTTGGTGGTTTGATTTCTTATGGGGTGACCACACTGAGTGCACTTAGAGAAAATGTTTCATTTCAAAAGGTAATTTGACAAATATTTGACGACTAAGTACGTGATATGATGAGTTTTGCTGCTGTTTATTATTTCTACTAGGATTTGCTTCTGTACTGCTGCTGTTTATTATGTATTCATGGAATTGTTTAGACTAGGATATCCATGTGGAATCTTCTTTTATAATCTCACCTTTTTCTGAAGAACTGTGGCCCCTTTTGAGTTTATTTTTATTTGATCTCATTATTCTCTTATATCTTCCTTTTGTTTTCTTGTTCCATGTAGCGCTTTATCAAAATAACTGCAATCATATAGGTTTGGCAACATAAACCCTTTTCTTGACATTCCATTACGTGGAGGAGACCATTTCTCATGTTGGTGCACATGGGAGATCTTGCAATGCACTTCAGGAGTAACATAACATGCAGTGATGCATAAAACTTCCTAACTCACAAAATACTTTTAAAAAGTGGTCGCAACCGTTACGTAAAGCCGTTACGTAACGGTTGTGGTGGTTACCGTCACCCTGTTGTGGCCGCTATAGCGGTGTGACGGAAATTCACGTGTAACGGCCGTTTCGGTGTTACATAATGGCCGTAGCAGTACCGTAATAGTCGTAACGGTCCGTTACACACCGTTACATACTTTTATAATATTCTGAATAACTTCATTTCCCAAAAAAAAATTAAAAAAATAAAAGCTTACAAAAAAAGAACAAATGTTCAAGTGATCCGAGTCCAAAGAAAAAATCTTACATGAATTTACATTAGCATGTAAAATAAAAAAAATATAAACAGTAGTTGTATTTATTTTTATAATCATTTTATTTAATATTTAATTATAAATATTTTTTATTTTCTTACTGTAATGTGTTGTCTAAAAAATCTTTAAAAAACTCAAAAATATTTTTTGTTTACGGCACAATTTTTATTTTTATAATCATTTTATTTAATACTTAATTGTAAATAATTTTATTTAGTTACCTGTAAAGTGTTGTTTAAAAAAATGTCTCAAAAATAATTTTTGTTTATGGCACAATTTTTATTTTTATAATCATTTCATTTAATAATTGTGAATATTTTTTATTTAATTAGTTAAGGTATTGGTCAAAAATAATTTGTAGACATTTAAAATCAATTATTTTTAAAGTCATTAACTATTGAAATAAAATGTAAAAAGTTTATTTTATAATGATTTGAAAATATGAAATATATTGGATCATACTTAAAAATTAACAAAAATTGATCAAAATCTATTTTAAACCCTAATAAATGTGATTCTAAAAAAAAAAATGCGTATCGGTAAGTTTTCTTCAGATTGTGTGAAAAATAAAAAAACAATCACGATTCTGGTTACCGCAACCGTTACGCTATGACCTTTATACTCTGCAACCGCAATTGCGCTACCGCAACCGTTACAGCGACAACAATCGAAACCTTGTTCATTCTACTATATAGTGACAACCCCCAAGCATCCGTTTATGTTCTTTCCTATTTTTGGACTTCCTATACCCCTCTCTGAGTCTTCTACTTCTCTGGTAGTTAACTGTAGTGTTACCGATCTTACTATGTAAAGCTATTGGCACAATGTTCTTTTTCATGATTTAGATGTTGATAACGTGGTTATGTTGTTCCCTAGGCTGTGACTCACTTAAAAGCTGTTTGGGTTGTTCCTCTTATAAGAGTGTTGCTAATATTTTCCACCAAATTTCTTTGAATCTTTCACTTCTTCGGACGGACCTGCCTAAATTACTTCCCACCTCTTTTCTTTGAACTACCACCTTAATCCCAACTATAACCATACTTCTTCAGAACCCCAACCCCATCAATCCCTTTCTCCCCTGCCATTCCCACATTTTGAAACCCCTTTCCCAGCTTTCCCTTGCTAACACAATAATGACTGGAATATTTTTGCTAGGTTCGGGTTGAAGCTGCATTGACTTCCCTCATCCCACCACCTTTGACGCCAATGCCTCGCGATCTTGCTCTCTTCCTCCCGCAGATCCTATCGCCTCCCTCCTCTTCCTCCTTTGTACCCCTTCTTCTTTTTCTTGTCTTGGGTGATCTTTCTTTCTCTATCTCTTGGTCTTATGATTTCTCTCTCTTTTGCAGAGAGTGGCGAGGATGGGTTGGGAAGAGATGAGTGTCGCGGTGAGGGTTGTTGGTGGTGGCTGCGGTGCGAGGGAGTGGGGTTAGGGTTTGGGAGGTTAGGGATGAGGACAAAAATTGAAATTTTAGGATGGTGTAAAATTGTAGTACAAAAAAATATGAAAGAGTAACGGCCCAAAGAAAAAAGTGGGGTGCTATTAGCAGCACTGCTCTTATAATAGTGGGATGCCATGATGGGTGCTCTAGAAAGCTTAGAAGCACAGGGAGTATATAATACTTTGATTTTGATGGGTGCTCTCTTGGGTGGACTTGAACCCTTTAGTTGTAGTAACTGCAAAGCCAGATGAATTGTTAATGGAGCCTCTACTGCAGTGATGCAAATTGCATGGTTAAAATGTGGCGGATGATGTTTATGGAGCCTCTCTCTCTCTCTCTCTCTCTCTCTCTCTCTCTCTCTCTCTCTCTCTCGTTAAATTAAAAGTTTTATACGTATAATACCCACCAGAATTTCTGTGATAAAGTCACAAAGAAACTGTTGATTCCTGTATTTTGTGATTAGAATAATTCCTTTTACCAAAAACATGATTGTCCACCTGTGAGTGTACAATGAAGTCTAGAAAGTGTTGTCCTGCTGTTGCTTCTATTTATAAAAGGAAACAGCTTGTTGTCACAGATAACTTGCTGGTGGGTATTCTGCTTATATCCATGCATTTCTTCCTGAGTAGACCCACACTGAAGATTGATTTCTCTCATCCAGTATTTTCTTATTGTGTATTATCCCAAGTTGGAACTTTTATAGCGTGTAATTTTTGTGGCTTTTATTACACCATTTCAACTGAATAGTTTTGTTCCCTTCTCGAAAGGTGTGACCAGAGTGGATTTTAAATTTTTCTTGCTTTCCGTTTAGGGCTTTGGGAACTATTGTGTTTGGTGTGGAGTATTAATGTAAAGTATAATAATGATTGAAACCAAAAGGGTACTTTGAATCTTGACAAAATACTTTCAATTTATTTAAATAATTGACAACACATCAAATTTAAAATGGCATGGCATCAGGTTGAAATGTCAAAATTTGGTAAGCATACCAAGATCTAAAATCTTGCTTCATGAATCAAACCCTTCTAATTAGTAAAATATGTCTGCATCTAATCTGGAATAATTGAGCCTGGATTTCATACTTGTTAATGAAGGACGATAATTTGGAGGTGCTTTATTTTGTCATTTTCCTTTGGTTACTGCTCATATTTTGTTTACTCATTTGATGTGCTATAAAGAATATTCTCAATTTTGCTCTTTTGATTTTATTTTTCGTTATGGTTAAACTGTTCTTAGCCATATACATTGTTTTGGTTTATAGACTGTATCCCCTATATTTTCTGCAGGGAAGCAACTTGAAATTTGAACTTGATTCTTTGCATGGGCAAGCTACAGTTTTAGCAGCACTAGTGTCTATTTCACCGAAGTTACCTCTTGGTTATCCAGCTAGGTATTGTTTTTGTTCTGTCTTGTATTTTGCTCTCTTTACATTCTCAAATGCTTATACTCTTCCTGAAGGAATCATGATAATTAGTATTCTGTTTTGTTCATTAGTGGATCTCTGAGATCACCACAAATTTATTTGACTAATTATTATTTTTTATCAGCAAAAAAATAAAAGGCACTGAAGTAGGTTGTTCATTGTCATGGATAATGTATATGCATCTACCAATTTTCAGGAACTTTGAGTAAGAATGAAGATTACTTTGGATATTCATTGGATAAAGAGGGCCATGATGTGGTTTTAATCTTCGTTGATACTCCTATGAACCTATTTGACGCTTTTCCAAAGCTTAAAATTTTAAATTCAATACTTTTATATCCCTGTGATCTTTGGATTTATTTTTTTTTGATAAATCTGTGATCTTTGGATTTATACTTTTTTAACTTTTGAGGAAGATATCCAGTGATCAATGTTTGTTTCAAATTTGAAGTTCAAAACTATTTGTTAAATGGGTTTCTTGTGTAGGGCTGTTCCATGTAACAAAATAAAGTGCTTCTGATCTCTGTGTTGATGCATCTGTATAAATTGTTATTGTTTCTATCCATATCTTCCTGAATCATGTTCCAATTTATTACTGCATTATGAGTAGTTGAGCCTTAACAAAATGACTGATTATCAATAACCCCTTGTTAATTGGCATTACTGTATGGATGATAAGAGCCATAGTCATCAATTATATATATAAATTCCAAGAAAGCTTACTGCCATTTGGTAAAATGAAAAAGCTGTAGGTCAACTTGGTAAATTTTCTAACTAGAGCAATACTAGTTACTTGGTGTTGAACAGTTTTCACGGCCAATAAACAGGTAAATATGTAAGTGAGTAAATAAGCAGTTATGTTTTGTACATATGATTATTTAGGTGCGCTTCTATAAGCATGATTTTTTTTATTAGTTGTGTTGTTTGGTCTCCTTGCAAGCATAGCTGTTCTGAAATGGAGTTAAAATGGTGTGAGAGTTCTGATTCACAGTATGAAAAGTAATGTAAGACAAGCTCATGAAGTAACTTTATGGATCTTTGGGGGACTGGTCACCCCCACATCAGGGGCAGTGTACTCTACTGCATTTTCAAATAGTTGTGTATATTTTGTAGTCATGGGATTAGTTGTATATATGCAAATTGCTAAGTAGCCAAGAAAGATATATAATCCTATTTCATGACAGAACTGTTAGTATGTCCTGCTAGCATGCTCTTATGCATACATGAACTCTCATGTTTGAAACCTGGTGAGCGAAGTTCTGTATATTTTATCGGATATTCTTTAAATTCAATCCTCGATTAAATATTAAATGTCTGTATCTGTGGATATGATTCTGAAACATTCAGTCCACACTACAAGGGAATCCATGGACCCTTTTAAATGATCAGTTGGTGCAAAAGCTTGAGCTGTTAGGGAATAGGCCTAACAATTTATGTAAAGCTCTGGCCTTTGCATGAATTGAGTATTCCAGGTCTCGAAGCTACAGTTATAGAAGCCAAGCTTTGGTTCTTATGATTTATGATTTTCATTATGAGTTTTGTGTTTGTTCGATTGTAGAGTCAAGGAAAGATAGATTTGATGCTCTACAATTTGTGTGTAGAGTCAAGGAAAGATAGATTTAATGCTCTACTATTTGTGTTCCACATTGTTCTCTTCCTGCATACTGGTTGACTTTCTACATCTTTCCATTGTCATCATTATTACTACTTCCCCTCCCAACCACACTTAACTAGGATCTGAACTAGTCTGGTTGTTACCTTTTGCACTGATTTGACAAATTTGAATTTCAAAGATGTATCACAGTGGCCATTTTCCAGTTCTTTTTCCAAAAATATAATTTTATTTTAATCTTTTAAGGAGGCCTAGTCGTTTGATAGTGGATGTTTATGCTTATTTTTGTGCTTGAAGTGATACGGTTTTCTCTGATGATGGTTTGTTTTAAACAGTAATGTCACTTGTTATTACATACAGATTACCCAGGTCGGTGCTTGAAGTTTCTAAAAAAATGCTGACAGAATCTAGTTGGAACCCTATGGTTGTGACTGTTGAACAACAAGCTGGATGGTTACTGTTGTCATCACTATTGGCTTCCATGCCAAAGGAGGTAGTTAAACATCTTTCAATTTTTATTTGTGTATTTACTGATTTTTGTTTGTTAACGTGCCATGATGTTTGCAGGAGCTTGAAGACCAGGTTTTTGATATTCTTTCTTTATGGGCAGCATTGTTTACTGGAGATGCAGAAAATCAGATTAAGCAAACTGAGGATCTGACATCTTCTATTTGGTTAGCGAATTCATAAGCTGCTTTTCTATTTGAGTTTTTTTCATTACCTAGTACCATATAGTATATGTCAAGTTCTATGTTAGGTGTCACTTTGTCCCTGTCTGAATCTGCAGCTGCTGAATTTATAATTCTCTTACAATAGAACCTCAAACTAGCTTGGGATGAATTTCGTTATGGAAAATTAATACCATTTTGAAGAATGTTTCCTATACCCGGATGGTTTATCATCTAGGAATATTGCAAAGTCTGATATAGTTGAAGCAATAAGGCTTGGCTGTTAGCCTTGTGCGCTATTTAGCTGCCTCTCCAATTTAGCTAGGCATTGGACTAAGTTAGATTTACTGTCAAAGAAAAACTTTGATGGAACTATTTTCTTGCTTTTTTTTTTTGTGAATGTAGAGCCAAGAGTTTCATCATTTTTTTCTTTACTAATAAATTAGGCCCTAGATATTGTATTCTAGTCACCCATTTTGTGTTTGAAGTGTGAAATTTAGATAATATACTTTCATAGATATATAGATTTAAAGAATCTGTGTATGTAAATATCCATGCTTGTCATTTATGTATGTCCTTAGTAATGTATGATGTATCTATGGAATTGTCTCTGTTAATGATGTAAATGAAACTATTTGTACCGGAGGCTGACCTAGTAAAATCCTTTTTGAAGTTGTATTATTTGTTTTCTTGGTGGTCTTCCATGATTTCCAATGACTCATGGTTATCATATAGGCACAATTTGAATGTTACTGGAATTTTTTTGTTAAATATGAAATCATTTGTTTAGCTTTTGACATGTGAACCCATTTTCTTCTCCTCTGGTAGTGTGCGGTCTGCTGCAATTGAGGCACTTATGGCGTTTGTAAGATGCTTTGTTTCTTCTAATGCTGTGAACAAGGGGATTTTGCTTCAACCAGTGCTACTATACCTAAGTCGGTATGGTCATCTATGTTGGAATGTTCTCATTTTAAATTATGTTTCTGTTGTCACTCATACAGAATTCTTTTTCTAATTTTGTTTTATGTTTGTTTCTGGGTTGTCTTTTGTTACAACTTGTTTTAAGTTTCATGAAAGAGTTTGTTTTATGAGTTTGACAAAATTCAGTATCTGGTGGAATGCAGAGCTTTGTCCTATATATCACTGGTAGCTTCCAAAGAACAACAAAATGTGAAGCCTGATATGGCTATGTTAATCATCAGAACACTGATGGCTTATTTGTCCCTCTCTGATCCAATGGCATATAAGGGTGATCATCCCCAGATTATACAGTTATGCACTACCCCATTTAGGTAATTATTTTCTTTCATTTACTTCTCTATTCTATAAGTTGCTATTATTTACTTCATATATGGTAAATAAATCATAAATATATATATGCACCTTTCAATCATGCAAATAGTGAAAGGAAAATTTGTATCTTTATTGAAAACTGATTTTTCCCCCCTCTTCATCGTGGATTGGAAAAGCAGTGATACTTCTGGATGTGAGGAAAGCTCATGCTTGAGGATGTTGTTAGACAAGAGAGATGCGTGGTTGGGTCCTTGGATTCCGGGAAGGTGTCTAGTGTTTTTAAATTGTGGATTTTCTCTCTCCTTTTGAAATTAACAATTTTAAATCCTTTTAAGCTGCATTTTAAATTTTTTTACCTAACAAAATAGTTGGATTCATTAAATCTTCTATTCATAATAAAGTCTTGCTTTGTTGTTCCAAATAGTTTCATTGTCCCTGTAGGCAAGTTGCAACTCTCGTTAAAATTTTAACTTCCTTTTTTCTTAAATGGGTAATCTAGGGATTGGCTTGAAGATGAGCTTCGTGCATTTCAAGGTGGAAAAGATGGTGATTTACCCTGTGTATGGGAGGATGAGCTTCCTAGTTTTCCTCAGGTAAAAGTTGGGCTAATTTCAATATGTGAAGTTATTGTCAATCTTGTTCTTGTCAATCAAATTGTTAAATTCATTGTGTTAACTTTTTCTGTAAGGTTTGTATGCAAATTTTGTGAGATTTTTTTGTGAGCTTTAAACTCTAGGAGCGTGATAGACCTTACCCACTCTTGGAGGAGGGCGGTTAGAGTGAGGAAGAGAAGAACTGGTATGGGGCTATTCTAGTTGGCCAAAACCCACGCACCTCACTAGGTGGTCAAGGATACAAGTCTTGCCGCAGGGAAATCTCCTCCTACCCCAAGCTTGGCCTTCGATATACCCCAAAGAAAAGAGTGGGGAAGAGAAGAAAAAACACTTGCTTTTTGTTACCTTTCCCTTTGATGTGGGCTATTTAGGGAGAAATGGGAACACAATTGGAGGACTTTGGATGGGGTGGATGAGCCTCCTTCTAAATTGAAGGGTGAAATTTTGTCCATTTTGTGTAGTTTGTTCTCTAGTGTAGTAGATTCATTCTTGAACCAATTTTTGGACTTCTTAGTGTCTTTTGAGAAAGAGCTAATGAATAGGAGATTTTGTTGTTGTTGTTTTGTTTTCTTTCTAGCTATGAAGCACGGACGCCTCTCTGAAGGCAGCGTATGGGTGTCGGACACGGACATGCGTTGGACACACAGTGGACACGTGTCGGGCATTCTACTTAACGTGTCCCCCCCCCCCAAATTTTTTTTTGAATTTTTCCAGTTGGACACGCTTGGACACGTTAGAGATAGAGAAACCCTAACTTGTTGAAGGGAGAGAGAAACCCTAACTCGTTAAATATAGAGAGATAAAATCCCTAACTAATTGAATACACAGAGAGAGAGAGAGGGTGAAGAACATGTTGAAACCCTAAATCGAGGTATGTTCTTCAAATCTGTCTTCATTTCTTCAAATCTGTTATTCTTCTTCTTTTCTTCTTCGTTTTTCTTCTTCTTCTTCTTCTGTTCGTTTCTCTTGTGTGTTTGTGTGTTCGTCTCTCTCTCTTTCTCGCTTTCAACTTTGTCTCTCACTTGTGTTGAACTCATACTCTGCCTCTTCGACTCTCTCTCTTCTTTCTGCGTGATCGTCTCTCTCTCTCTCTCTCCTCTTCTCTGTTCTATTCTTTTTTTTCCTCTATTTTTTGAGTATTCTTATTTGCTCAACTTGAACATACATAAAATAAATTATTTTTATTTATAGGAAAAAATTAATTTGTAACTGAAATTTGATATTAAAGTAAGTAAATAAATAAAAAATATATTTTTTGATTTTACATATAATTAATAAATAAAATTATATATATTAAGTGTGTTCCCAATGCGTCGTGTCCTCCATTTTTTGAAAATTTGTGTGTCTGTGTCGTGTCCCATGTCCGCGTCCATATATCATAGCCTTCTAGTGTGTATAGGGCATCTTGTCAGTGCCTTTTCTCAATAAACTTTACTTACCAAAAGAAAAAAAGAAGTTTATTCACTTCCTTTCTATATTGAAGCAATCTCCAGTTGCTCTGATGAAAATGGTACCCGCAGAAATGAGATACAGAAGAATTGGCTTTTATTTTAGTTGGGAGGGTACAATAGAAAGGAAAATGCTACATATAATCCAATTTCTTACCTCATTTTCTCACTCGAAGACGCAAGTGAGTGGGTCCCATATGCATTTATGAATGTGGGTCCCATTGCTTTGTGTCCGGAGTGAGAAAAGGAGCTTAGCATTGCTCCAATAGAAAGTACTTGGTGTGGAGTACAAATTTGAAATGTCACTATTACGCATGTTGATTTCTGTGCTTTAGTTTCTTGATTCGCTTCGTATAAATTTGCTTTGTTCCTTTCAATCTACGTTTCTAATTTGTGGATTTCTAACATGAAGCCGGAGACTGTAAGCAAGATGGTGGTGAACCAAAAGCTCCTTTGTTTTGGGACCATGTTTGCTTCTCAGGTAGGTGAATATGTGTGGTGGTTTGAGCTTGGCTGTGTTTGTATTACTCAGGAGGGTACGTTTGGATTTTGTTAACTCAATCTTAATTTTATGTATAACAGGATAGTGGTGGGATGTTGTCACTTCTTGGCATGATTGAGCAGTGTCTTAAAGCTGGGAAAAAACAAACTTGGCATGCAGCCAGTGTCACCAATATATGTGTGGGGTTACTTGCTGGATTGAAGGTGCTTATTATCCTCTGCCATCTTCTTAAAGCATACTGTACATGGTTATAGTGTGGCTTACATTTAGCCCATTATTGTGCTTCCTCAGGCTTTGCTGGCTTTACGCCCCCAACCATTGGGATCAGATGTATTAAGTTCAGCACAGGCGATCTTTCTGGTTTTGATACTCTTCTTGATTCTTACTTTCATTACGATTACTCAAGAATCTCATCAGCAAATATGTATTACATTTTTTTGTATTTTACTTTTTTACTTTGTCAGAGTATTCTGGCAGAAGGGGACATCTGTGCATCACAACGCAGAGCAGCATCAGAAGGTCTTGGTTTGTTAGCTCGCCTTGGAAATGATATGTTCACTGCTAGATTGGTCAGTTTCATTATTGATATGACATTTGCTTCTCCCATCGATATAGTATATTAGTGCTTCTTTCTTTTTTTCTTTGTCTTATTTAGTTAGAGGCTCTAATCATTCTTAGGGTTTTGGTTTGTTAAACCACATAATAGGTCTCTCCTGTTATTCAATTGTGTATTTAGTTGCCATTGGACTCTCTCTCTCTTCGCTGTATTCATTTTCGTAGCTGAACTGGTTCTTCTGATAAACAGACAAGATTGCTTCATGGGGATGTAACGGGGGCAGCTGATTTATCATATGCTGGATCAATTGCTTTTGCACTTGGCTGTATTCATCGCAGGTAAATTGTTAGAATCTTTTCTTAATATATATGTTTTTGAATGAATATATATCTATTTATATTCACTGCTACGAGGTTGATTTTCACCCTCTCATTCTGCATATTTCATCTGTTTAATAGAGATATAAATACAACCCCAAGGGGTTGGCTTGGTGGCAAGGCCTTGAGTCTTGAGGGTGTGCTCCCTCCAAGGTTGACGGATCGAAACCTTTGGGTGCTAACAATTCCTTGGGGCCATCAGATTGGGGGAAACCCTTGAATTAATTGTGGTGCACTTGCGGAAAACTCCTTGTTGAGGGCCTGTGCACCCCTAAGGATTAGTCAGGCTTTGATCTGGACACCCCGGTGCCAATAAAAAAATATAGAGATGTAAATACTGACATATGGATAATTTTGCTGAAAAGCTATGTAACATGGACTCTTCTAAATTTGTGAAGTCCATGTTGGACACTTGACACTCTGGGTTAGGAAATGAGATGTGTGTTCGACATGTCTAGTTGGACATGCATCAACAAATATGTTTAAGCATTGAAGTCTACTACTAAACTATGCACAAGACTACGATTTTATGCACATCTATGTTGATTTGTTACCACCAGTTTACCCTAAATAAATGTAAGAAGCATTTAATAAATATGAAATTTATTAGTGTCCTGGTGTCCTTGGGCATGAGAATTAGATAAATTCGACAATTTGACACTTGCTGCACTCGACACTCTTACCAAAATCCATGTAACATAGCTTAAAAGTTTTGATGGGGATTTTAGCTAATGAAGATTTAATCTTATCTATCTTCCCTGCAGTGCAGGAGGAATGGCATTGTCAAGTTTAGTTCCTGCAACTGTGAACTCTATCTCTTTGCTAGCTAAGAGTTCAATAGCTGGTTTACAGGTCTGGTTTTTGCATGGTCTTCTTTTGACCATTGAAGCTGCTGGCTTGTCCTACGTATCACATGTTCAGGTATTTTTATTCCTGCACCATTGTGGCAGTGTCACACTAACTTTTGGAAAGAGGTTGTAGTTAGGTTATTTTACACTTTCTTTTCCTTGTTAACACCCCTTAATCTTGGCAGTTTCTATTTACTTACACTCATTTTTTAATTGCCCCTCCTCCAAAATTCAAAATACTATTTCATCACAACCTTTGTAACCCAAATCTAACATCATCCCTAGCCTTTCATCCTCTCTCTACACCCCCTCTTAACTTTTCAAACCCTAACTCCACACTCACCCACTGCCTTCTTCTTCCCAGCACCTCTCCTTCTCCGTCAACCCCTCTTCTGCCACCATCACTGCTTCTCCCACCCCGCAACACCCTTCCTCACCCTACAACACCTCCCCCAGCCCCTCCCCTTCCCTACCACCACCTCCTCCACCGCCTCCACTGCCTCCTTGATTCAATCATGACCCCTCCTCCTCCTTTGCTGCCTCCCATCCCCCCACCCCAAACCTTGCTGCCCCATGACCACCACCCGCCATCCCAGCAGCCCCCCAACCCTTGCAGCCCCCTCACCTCTTGTGGCCCCACTGGCAGAGAGAGAAAGATCTCGGCCTTGTTTGGTTTAACTCTCAAAAACACAATTTTTGAAAAAAATTTCCAAAATTTTGTTTGGTTGGAAATTTTTTGAAATTTTTTTCCAAATTCACTTTATCTCTCCTACACATCAATCAATCATTTTTTCCCTTCTCTCTCCTTCTCAATCACTTTTTCTCTCACACATATCTACTCAACTACAACAAAATATCAAATTGTTAAAAAAAATACTGTATTATTGATTGTTGTTATTTTGATGTGTTACAAGATTGATTAATTACAATTCCTATACAATCTATATATAGAAGAAAATGTGGTAGTAGGTGTAGTGGAGGTGATAGTGGGTTAGGTGAAGTGGAGTGTGTGGTGAAGTGGAGGTAGGTGAAGTGGAGTGTGTAGTGGAGTAGGTGAAGGTAAAGATGGGAAATTCTAACACAAATCATCCCAAACTCCCTTACTCCAAAACTATTTTCAAAATATACAACCAAACAAACCAAAAAAATTTCTAAACTGTTTCCTCAAAATTTTTTTTTGAAAATTTATCTCCCAAAACCAAACCAAACACACCCCTCAATTCTAGGGTTTGAAGGAGGAGGAGTGGCTGGGGTGGTGGTGGTGGGGAGGGAAATGGGGCTGGGATTGGTGTTGGTCTGGTAGAGATGGTGGAGAAGGGGGTGGGTGGAAGGAGAAATTAGGGTTTGATTACTTTTTGCTAATTTTAGTGAAGGATAAATTGTAATAAAAAAATGAAAATTTAGGTGTGCAAGTACTTATTTTTCTGGTGTAAATAGAAGCTCCCCATAATCTTCCAATGTGACACCTGTAGCAAGTCTCATGTGTGCAGGCAACTGTGTGAAATGATATCATTCATGTTTAGACATGGATGCTGTCATCTTCTTAAGATAATATTTCGCTGTTAAATGCCTCGTGGTAGTTTCTTTTTCTGTTCTTTGGGGAAGTGTGTTTACATTGCTTTACTTACGTAGTTAGTTCATGAGAACCTGATTATGAGTTAACACTTCTCTACACGGTAGACTTATGTTCAGCTATTGTCATTTCCCTTCTTATTTACTTTCCTTTCTCTGTGGTCAACGCCCTTGCTATTGTCATTTCTCATTTATTTTTGTTTCTATGTAGGCTACACTTGGTCTTGCTATGGATATTCTTTTGTCTGAGGAGAATGGATGGGTTGACCTTCAACAGGGAGTGGGCCGTCTCATAAATGCAATTGTTGCTGTTCTTGGTCCTGAACTTGCTCCTGGCAGCATTTTCTTTTCACGTTGCAAGGTTTTTTTGTTTACCGTTTTCTGCTAACTTTAGAACTGCAGTAATCTGGCATCGAACTCTTCCTACACCCTTCTTTTGTTTGATTGGTTATGTAATTTGTCGAACATCATTCTAATAATGCATTTATTTCTAGTCTGTTGTTGCAGAGATAAGCTGCCAGCAAGAAACAGCAACACTTCTTGAGTATGTTTGCCTATTCTTGTTGCTCTGGTTATGTCAGTAACGAAGTAATCATGTGTTTGTATCCTGTTCATGTTATTGTTGTTGTTACTGTTATTTTTTGTCTCCCCTTATTCTCTGCTGATCTACTTGTCCTCCATACTGGAAAAGGTGCCATTTGATAAATTTAGAGAAAACCAAGGTTATGGAATGATTAGGATATCATCCCCTATTTATATTAATGAAGTTAATAATTACAAAGTGAGCCTTAAGCATAGAATAATTACAAAATAATAACTAAAATAATAATATATTATTCTAACACTTCTAACATTTCCCCTCAAGCTGGTGCGAAGATATCTCTCATGCCTAGCTTGACTAAGATTTCATGAAATGGTTTACTCCCAACTCCCTTGGTGAGGATGTTAGCAAGTTGTTCATCGGACTGCACAAAGGGAGTACATATTGTGCCACTAGTGAATTTCTCCGTAATGGAGTGGCGATCAATTTTAACATGCTTTGTCCTGTCATGTTGAACCGGATTGTGAGCGATGTTGATAGCGGCATTATTACCACAGTATAACCACATGGAGCCCGTCTGATCAATACCTAGATCACTTAACAATAACTTGATCCATAAGAGCTCACACACCCCTTGTGCCATAGCTCTAAATTTAGCTTTTGCACTTGACCTATCAACCACATTCTGTTTCTTACTCCTCCAAGTAACTAGGTTGCCTCCAACAAAGGTGCAATATCCTGAAGTCGATCTCCTGTCAGTCACTGATCTAGCCCAGTTAGCATCTGTATAGGCTTCCACACGAAAATGATCATACTTTGAAAAATAAAGACCCTTACTAGGAGCAGACTTCAAGTACCTTAAAATTCTCATAACAGCCTCGAAGTGAATCTGATGAGGAGCATGCATAAACTGGCTAACCACATTGACAGCTACAGCAATATCAGGACGGGAGTGAGATAGGTAAATGAGTTTACCCACTAATCGCTGATAGCTCTCCCTATCAACAGCTGCTCCTCATTCATCATTCCCTAATTTCTGATTGGGTTCCAGTGGAGTGTCGCAGGCCTTGCGGCCAAGCATTCCAGTTTCTTTCAACAGATTAAGCACATACTTCCTCTGTGAGATAAATATGCTATCCTTGGAGTGAGCAACTTTAATTCCTAGAAAATTCTTAAAGTTTCCCAAGTCTTTGATTTCAAACTCACTGGCTAAATATTTCTTCAAGAATAATGCTTGGGACCCCCTTTTGGGGGTCACCCCCTCACCCCCTTTGCCACGTGGCAGGTGGTGATTGGAGGAGCAGGAAAAAAAAGAAAAAGAAAAAGAAAAGGTAACCAATGAGAGAGAGAGGGGGTCAAAGGGGGTGGGGGGAAAAGGGGGGATGAATCATTACTCTTTCTTCAATAAAGGAATTTCCTCACCATTCATCATTCCCTAATTTCTGATTGGGTTCCAGTGGAGTGTCGCAGGCCTTGCGGCCAAGCATTCCAGTTTCTTTCAACAGATTAAGCACATACTTCCTCTGTGAGATAAATATGCTATCCTTGGAGTGAGCAACTTTAATTCCTAGAAAATACTTAAAGTTTCCCAAGTCTTTGATTTCAAACTCACTGGCTAAATATTTCTTCAATAAAGGAATTTCCTCACTATCATCGCCTGTAAGGACTATGTCATCTGCATAAACAATGAGTGCTATAGTCCTACCAAGTGAGGAATGTTTCACAAACAAGGTGTGATCTGCCTGACTCTGTTTGAAGCCATATTTAAGCATAGCCTGAGTAAATCTCTCAAACCAAGCCCTTGGAGACTATTTGAGACCATATAATGACTTCCGAAGCCTGCATACTTTGCCTTCTGTCTGATGATCCTCAAAATCAGGAGGAATGTCCATATATACTTCTTTTTCAAGGTCACCATGGAGAAAGACATTCTTTACATCAAACTGATGAAGTGGCCAATCTAGAATAGTTGCTAGAGAGAGAAGTATTGATTGAATTTATCTTAGTTACGGGTGCAAAATTCTCCTGGTAGTCAATGCCATATGTCTGACTGAACCTTTTTGCCACAAGTCTAGCCTTGCAACGCTCAATAGAACCATCAGCTTTGTGTTTCACAGTATACACCTATTTCCATCCCACAGGTCGTTTGCTCTTAGGTAACTCAGTCAATTCCCAAGTGCTATTCTTCCTAAGTGCTTTCATTTTCTCAATTATAGTAAGTTTTCACTCAGAGGTAGCAAGAGCATCCTGAAAATGGTTAGGAATGCTAACAAAGGAAATATTTGATACAAATGCTCTACATGAGGACGACAAATGAGAGTAGGACACAAAATTTGAGAAAGGATGTTGAGTACAAGATCTCACACCATTTCTCTTGGAAATAGGAACATCAAGATCAATGGACTTAAGAGATTCAAAGTTACTTGAACTCTCATCAGAAGCAGGAGATGGTAGTGGAGGAGCATAAGTGGTCTCTTGTATCCAGTTAACTTTCTGTTTGTCTTTGTTCCTGACATAAACTTGCCCTTCCCTATCTTTGGTAACATTGGGTTCTGCAGTCTCAGTAGGAGGTGGTGGTGCAAGAACAACTAGTTCCACCATAGGAATTACAAGAATCACTTCACTCCAAGGCTCCCCTTGAAGGGAGGACTGGGACACCGGAGAGGACAAGAAATAGGACTGGGATTCAAAGAATGTGACATCCGCGGACACAAACCACTTACGAGAAGGAGGGTGATAACACTTGTACCCTTTTTGAGTAGGAGAGTACCCAAGGAAAATACATTTGGGAGAACGAGGGTCCAACTTACCACGAGTAGGAGAGTGATTAAGGACAAAACAGACAGCCAAATATTTTGGGAGGAATAGAAAACAAGGACTGGGAACCTAGGAGGACTTGAAGATGAGCTTAGTTTTGCAAGACCTGGGTAGGAAGATGATTAATAAGATGGGCAGCGGTAAGAACAACATCGCCCCAGTAGGACCGATGCATACTTATAGAAAAACACATGCACTGAGCTATGTCAAGAAGATGGCAATTCTTGTGTTCTGCCACCTCATTTTGTTGAGGGGTATTGGTGCAAGAGGTTTGATGGATAATGCCATGAGTAGAAAAATATTGTCCTAACCCAGAATCTATGTATTCACCCCCATTATCAGAACGGAATATTTTGACAGTGGTCCTAAATTGAGTACAAATCATTTTATGAAAATTGTAGAACACAGAGAAAATCTCACTCGTTTTTCATGAGATACACCCAAGTAGTACGAGAAAAATCATCAATAAATGTAACAAACTAGCGATGACCTTTCACAGACACAACACGAGATGGACTCCAGACATCAGAATGTATTAATGAGAAAGGAACTAAACTTTTATTAAAACTGGGAGCAAAAGAAGCTTTTTGGTGTTTGCCATATTGACAAGACTTACAAAGAAATTCAGACATATTATTGTTTGAAAAAACAGTTGGAAATAAGTGCTTAAGTAAATAAAAAGAAGGATGCCCAAGACGTCGATGCCACGACCATATATCATTGGTGGTAGTGTGACTCGTGGTGGAATAATGAGCAAGTTTATCCGGTTGATCCAGGAAGTAGAGACCATTTTTTGTACTACCATTGCCAATCGTCCTCCTCGTGATAAGGTCCTGAAAAAGACAATGATCAGGAAAAAAAATGTTACACTACAATTCAAATCCTTTGTAATATGACTCAAGGATAACAGGTTAACAGAAAAATTGAGAACATGGAGAACAGAAGAGAGAGGTAAAGTAGGAGTGATATGGACTAAACCTTTCCTAGAAATAGAAGAAATAGTACCATCTGCAATCCTAACTTTGTCCTGACCTGAAGAGGGCTTATAGACAGAGAAAAAGTCAGAGGAACCAGACATGTGATCTGAGGCACCAGAATCAATAATCCAGGGAAAAGACATATGAGACAGGAAAACACAAGGAGAATAGGCTAAGTTACCTGAGCGGGCAAACGACGAGGAAGGCGTACTAAGAGCAGTAGAAGACCGGCGGTCTAGCAAGTGACGCAAAACATCCTCAAGATCATGAGTAGTCATGCCAGAGAGACCATCAGAAGTCTGGCCAACGGAAGCAAAAGTAAAATCAAGTGTATCGACAGTACTAGACTAATGAGCCTGTGGATAGGAGCCACGTCCTCTAGACTGGCCTGACCAACCTCCTTTAGAACCAGACCGATCACCTCGACTCCCGGATGAAGTCCCATGAAGCTTCCAACACGTTTCACGAGTATGCCGCGGCTTCTTACAGTAATCACAGAAAACAGACTCCTTGGCGGCAGATGGAGGGATGGGAGTCAGGCTGAGGCCATCTCTAGAGGTAGACAGTAATGCTGAGCGGTCGGTAGAGAATCATACTCCACATTGAGACCGGCCAGAAACTTAAAGACCTTTTCCTGTGCAATGAACTTCCGGTGCCTGACTAAATTAGCAGTGCAAATAGGCTTATAATCCTGCAGGTGATCAAGGCGTTTCTAGCCATTGGTGAGGAAGGTGAAGTACTGAAGAACCGTTTGCTCCCCTTGAACAGAGCTCTCAATAGAGCGGCGTAACTCAAATGCCTATGAGAAATTCCCTTCGCGGGAATAGGTGGTAGCCACAACATCTCAAACATCCTGGGTAGTCTCTATAGATAAGTAGCTCTTGCCAATGTCTGGTACCATCAAATGAATAAGTCAACCCATAATCAAATAGTTGGTAATCTTCCATTGGTCATAACCTGGGTCAGTTGTGCTTGGTGCCTGTATCCTGCCATCTACATTCCCCATCTTCCCTTTGCTCTTCAAAAACATAATCAAAACATAGTCATGGTAGTAGGTATAGGGAAACTCTCACTCCTAGGCGTCTGAGAAGTAGTGGACAAACCGGTGGAATCTGCCATAGATACTGTACTACCGAACCCTCAACAAAATTAGTACCAATCACAAGCTCGGAAGGTGGAGGAATACAAACACAATGACTACGAAGAAAATTAAGAACTTAAAAACTCATTAACCTTTTCTTCTTCTTTTTTTTCTTTTTTTTCTTTACTGCATTAGTTATTTATTTATTTATTTATTTCTTGTTGAAGTAAAGAAAACCTAAAAAACTAGGGTACTAGTATTTGGTTACAAGTCTACGAAGGAGCAGATGACCTGGTCAAACAGAATGTCGAAGAATAGAAAGGCTACTAGTGTGGTCGAAGTTACAGTTGCTGGAAATGTTGCCCTCAAATGCACTGAAGACATGGGGCCTATCGGCTGGGCCAGAAAAGCTATTCGTGGCAGTCGGCCAGGTGAGACAAGGCCAAGAGGCCTGTCGGCAAAGTCCAACAAGGGACGTCGATGCTTGTGGTAAGGATGTCAACCAACCCAGGTAAGGTTCAAACCCTAGGGTGATCTTGATGCTGATGTTGATCAACCAGGGTGAGTTTCAAACCCTAGCCAGACATCAACCCAGACTCGAAACCACTTGGGTCTTTCCCAATGTGAGTCGAAACCCCTCAGGGTGGAGTCAGTTGCTGAAGGATAGTCACTGGTGGCGTAGGATGTCTCCGTCTGATGGCTGATGGCTTCGATGAGGAACAAGAACTGTATGGATAGATGGATTTAGGTTTAGGGTTAGGCTCTGATACCATGATAAATTTAGAGAATATCAAGGTTAGGGAATGATTAGGATATCATCCCCTCTTTATATTAATGAAGTTAATAATTACAAAGTGAGCCTTAAAGCATAGAATAATTTCAAAATAATAACTAAAATAATAATATATTATTCTAACACTATTAATTCTGTGGGATAAATTTCCCATAGAATTTAGGCAAAGTATATGGGCCTTGTTTGGTTTGCGTTTCTGAAAAAAATTTGGAAAAAATTCTCTACAAATAAGTTTTCAAAAGTAATCAAACCAAACTAATTTGCCCAAATTTTTTTTCCAAAACTTGTTTGGTTTACAAGTTTTCCAAACAAATATCTCTCTCATACACATCAAATCAATCATTTTTCCAAAACTCTCTCTCAAAATAATTTTTCAAAACATCTTTTGAAAAAAAACCAAACCAAACAAATTTTCGTACTTTTTATCTCAAAACATGTTTCTCAAATACAAACCAAACAAGCCCATGGTTTTTCAGTTGTCTTTTTTTCCTTTCCTGCTTTAGGATTTTGTGGAAATTTTTTTTGTTGTTCAGGAATTTGTGGAAATAGTTTACGCTTACTGTTATTTTACTGTTATTTTGGTAGGAGTGTTCGTTTTACACAACAACTTGTACTTTTTGCCCCACAAGCTGTTACTGTGCACTATCATGTACAAACTCTCCTCTTGACTTTGTCATCGAGACAGGTACAATTGCCATTTGTTAGATATTCCTTAAATAGTAGTACTTGCTTGGATCTAAAAGAAATTTGTTTCCTCCACAACAGCCAACTTTGAGGCATCTAGCTGTGTCCACTCTGCGACATCTCATAGAAAAAGACCCGGTCAGTAATTAAGAGTTATTTTCCCTAACATGATTATTGATTTTCCCTTCTTGTAATTATGCTACTAGAAAATCAGTAAACATCACAGGCAGTCTTATGGTTCCAATTTTTCACGGGTTTATTGCTTGGAAATATTTTCTCTAGGTTGCGTTTGTATTCATGGATTCAAAATAAATGTATTTGGATGTCATTATCAGAGAAATATACCTTCAATTTATATTGGATAACCTACATTTCTTTTATACCAACAAATAAATGTTAGGATTTGAGTGTATATTATGAGTGGATTTTAAATGATAGGTAAACATAGTTATTTCAAAGCCATTATAAAAAGGATTCTAATTGTACGAGAATCCTATTATGATATATCAATTTCAAGCCTTTCCCTTAGGTCTTTAATCCAACTCTAATAGCAAACTCTAATAGGAATTTGCAAATTAAAGCCCCAAATCTGTTGATTTTAAATCTATCCATCCAAACACAACCTTAATGTTTTGAAACTTATTGCTTTGTAAATCAGATGATGTTGGTAAGATCCGATTTCACTCTTTGTTTATTACTTTGTTATAGTGATTAGCAAACTTGGTTCTTGAGTCTATTTGTTAACCATTTAATTGTTGTGTTTCTATTTGTTTAACTACAAGTTCTTCAGATCCAAGTGCTGATATTATACTTCACAGGCATCTGTTATTGATGAACAAATTGAAGATACCTTGTTTCATATGCTTGATGAAGAAACTGACACCGAGTATGTTGGCAATGCATTTTTTTTGTGAAACTTGAATAGCTCTTTTTCTAGTATCTCTGATCTTTTCCCCCTTTTTTTTTGTGTTAAATATGTGATTACCATGTCATTGCCTTATGGTCACTTGTGCTGTCTCTATAATTGTTCCAGTTAAGTACTCTGTTTCTGTCTATGTATTGTTTTACAGTTGCTGGAAATGTTGCCCTCAAATGTTTATTCTTTTCATCAAGTAGTGGTTAGCAAGACATCTTCCTTTCATTCCATCAGAAGCACCTTTCTACTAAATACTGATCTTCCTTACTATTATTCAGAAAGAGAGCAAGGAAAGTTGGGAAAACTTAGCAATCTTACGATGCCACTATCCATAAGAATTCTTGCTTACAAAACCTATTGTGTTGATGTCATTGTTGCTGCTGCTGCTGCAATTATGGGCAGCGTGGGTAACATAGACACGGATATGTGACACGACATGGACATGCCGACACGTCAATTTTAAAAAAATGTAGGACACGACACACTTCGGATTCTTTAAAATTGTATATTTGTACAAATTTATTATATATCATATATATATATGAATAATTTAATCAAAGATAATGAAAATTATGTAAAATAACACTATTCCATTATAGATCATTTGGGATTCTTTAACAATTACATTCTAAAGAATGCAAAATAATTATAGAACATCGTAACATACATGATGATTCACATTATAAATGTTTCAAAACATATTAAAAGTGCATGAGTTGTGTTTCGAAGAATGCAAGCAAAACATTGTTATTGTGAAGGGATTCATCACATAGGACATGCAAAACATTATCCTGTGTAGATAAGTGCTCACTTTTAGGTGTCCTTTAAATGAAATTTATTTGTCAAATATAAAATTACCAATAGCTTTTGTCTTTAGCATTGTATTTGTATTATTCTGCATACATCCATTGCTTTTGCTTGTGCACCTTTTGCTTTATTACTTAATTATTTTCTAGGTCACTGGTCAGTGTTGTTGTAATTTTATTTGTAATGTCACTTTTTATATTTTGTGAAATTGTGTTAATATTTATTCCCAATATATGAAAGATGTGCTTTATTATATATTAAGCTTCATGTGTGAAATATAAAAGATTTTCTACTTTTGTGACTAGTTGCTGCCATTATACTCTTAGGACATATATTGGGGACCCTTATTCACACTCCACATATGGCTTTTGCACTCTACATTTTGTTTTTTTCTAAGTCACAAGGTGGATTGTGAGCAGTAAAATATAGAGTGTGGATATCAAGTCCCTATGTATATATTTTATGGACTATATTTTATACAATAATTTTTAAAATTTGAATATTTTTATTCTTTTAGGATTGGAAATTTGGTGCGTTCCACAATTATGCGTTTGCTCTATGCATCATGCCCTCTATGTCCATCCCATTGGCTATCAATCTGTCGTGCCATGGTAGGCTTTTCTCTCTATGTGTTTTGTTTGTTACTATGCTTTGCTAATTATTCTAATTGGTAAAACAAAATAATCTGTTGAATGATTACAAAGTTGCAATAGGTAATTAGATGGCAACAATGTGGACTATTTAACTGCGCATCCAAAATTGTGTTGTTCCATTTGCTTTCAAGGTTACTGGGATTTATTGTTGAAGTACTTGATGCCAGTTTCCCTTCCACGAAACATAGTATATTTTCTTTGAGTAAGGTCTATCTCATCTTTAATTGACGTGGTGGTTATTTAACAGCATTATTCTTTATTTCATCAACAATTAACTTCCGTCAATGTACTTGAGACCTTTCATTTTTCTTCTATTTTCTATATTTCAACAGCCCAAATGAATTGGACCTGAACTTCTAGATTTTCGAGTGCATGTTGTGTAGCCATAAAATCTTCCAGATAGTCATAATACTATTGGATCCACTATGGGTCTTTTTCTTTTAGCCAAGGGGAGTCCTGCAGAATGTGTTCTTGAGATTTAACAAAATTCTGTGTAGGATAGTAAAGAGTAAGTATAGCACTGACTTTACTAGAGGAGGAAGTAGTTGCAATTTGAAAATTGAAAGATTGACATGGAAGGCTAATGATCATTTAAATTTGATTTCTTCAATGTTAAGTGATGGTTACAAGCATAACTTTTGTTAATTTTTTAGCATACTCTTCTCAATGACTCCCATATAGGTTTGCTTTGCAGTATAGGAGGATGGGTTTCTGGTAATCATGTTATCTTGTTTATAACATTTTTTATGGTTTTTAGTTGCAAAATTAATCCATATCTGTCATATTAATGGCTTGCATATCTTGCAATGCACACAAGGTTTTATGTGCTTTATGCCTATGTCTGCTCTGAGTACTATTTCTTCGATATAATTGTTATTTTAATTATATATTTGGTCTTTCGTCCAGGTTCTTGCTACATCTACAGGAAGAGATCCTGGGACCAATGGCAATTTAGAAAATGATCCTGATGGCGACACAAGATTGAATTTTGGAGATGATGATGAAAACATGGTGTCTAGCTCTAAAACCTCATCCTTTCAAGGTTATGGATTTGATTCAACCAGAGTAAATACCAAAAGAGATAATCATCTCAGATATAGGACCCGAGTTTTTGCTGCCGAGTATGTGAACTTGCTTTTGCTGTTTATCTTTGAATTATAATACGGCCAAACTTAATTGTCTTACACATTTATGTTTGGTTTCTTGCTTCCTTATGTTACTTTCTCCTGCTTTTGCAAGTGATATAAGATGTATATCTATATATCTTGGAGCCTCATGTGTTCTTTAGTTGCTTGAGAACTTCTATTTAGATGCAAGTTACTATCATCTATACATTAATGTGAATTAGTCATCCTGGATTCCCCATTTGGATTATATTGGTTGGAATGTCCTTCAATGAATCTTCGTTTGGCATATACATAAAAATTTATTTTTTTATGTATGAAAGTACGTTGTTTATACTCTTCCACAAACTATAAAGGAATTAATGAATAGTTCATATGCACCAACAAGTTTTATTGAAAATCCCCTATTTCTGGTTATGTTTCATTTGGAAGTTCAGTAAATATATACTGCAGTGCATTTAGTTCCCAAGATCAACTAGCGAGTTCATGCAATCGTCGTGCTATGTGCCAGTATCAGCCAAATGTATGTTATTGTAAAGGCATAGTCACAAACTGTGTAATTGTTTCTCATGATCCTTTGTTTCATTCCATGTCCATGTTCTTACATATTTCACGACTTGATGTCACTTCCATGAATGACTCATGTTTGATGTACGCTGTATTAGATATGGGGCTTTGTGCATGTTTTATGATTAACTCAAGTTATTGAATATATTTGCTAGGTGAATGTCTACATGTGTTGGATACATCTCATACCTTTACCTAAGCGTTGAGTGTTTGGCACTGGTACTTTATACATTTAGAAGAGTCCATGTAACATAGACTCAAATTTTCAAATGGTGCCATTCATGCTAACATACATCTTGCGTGATTGGGGGTTATAATACTAGTAGCCACTAGAGACACATTGCAATGCCTTGGGTTCAAGTATACTTGTAGCCACTAGAGACACATTGCAATGCCTCGGGGTCAAGTTTCTCACGAGATTAACAAACAAACGCAACCAAAGATTTTGGGCAGAAAGAGAGGAGATGGAAAGATCCCCTTGAAGGACATTAGAGGGCATTCGGTTAATCAATTAGGCATAGCATCGCCTGAAAAAGGATTTTAGGATGTTCGTAATAAATATGAGGAAGCATGCAACCTCAAGGATATGGTATTTTTTCTTTCAGCAACACTATTCCATTCAGGTGTAACTACTACACAACATGACTTATTGACTTATAGAGAATGGCATGTTCATTGACTTAGGCATGAAAGTCCTCATCAATATACTCAGTGCTATTATCCCTCCAAAGGATTTTAGTTTTGGCATCAAATTGGTTACTCACCAATTTATGAAAAATTTTGAAATAAGAGAAAACTTCACTTTTAGTGCAAAGTAAACAATCCCAAGTAACATGAGAGCAACAATCAATAAAGATAACAAGTCAATGATAAACAAAAGTAAAAACAATATGAGAGGATCCCCACACACCAGAATGAATAGACATGAAAGGGGATGAGCTTCTATGATTAGCAAGAGGATAAGAAGAGCCTTTGTGCATGCTTGGCAATCATCACAAACGAAGCTTCTTCTATGACAATGCTTCGCTAAACCAAGGATACATTTTGTAATATGCCAGAGGAAGGATGTTCCAAGTGCCTATGACAATGCTTCACTAAACTAAGGACAAGTTTTGTAATATGCCAGAGGAAGGTTGTTCTTAGTGCCTATGACAATGCTTTAAGTTTGCATCTTTTGCTTGTAGGTGCATAATTAATGTTATAGCGCCACTGCCACTTGTTTGATGTAATAATTTTGAACCTAGCACTAGGATGTTTTTATTGTTCTCACTCTAGCTTTTCTTTGCAAGTGATTACCTTTGTAAACTTGTTCACCAGAACTACAGTTAAACCATTTTTATCATTTTTTGAGATTGGTTCCATCACCATTCATATCACATATTGCTTTTATCTGAATGTAGTAGTACTTTGGAAGAAAAAAAAACTTATATTGATTTGCAAGCCTTTTTTGTACTCTTGGAACGAGATATATTTGAGTTGCCTTATAGAAATTACAGAAGTTCCAAGGTGTGTGAGAATATTGTGTATACCAGTGTTTTTAAAGGCTCAAGGCGCACTAAGGCGCTGAAGGTCTCTCGGGGCCTAGGCGCAAGGCGCAAGGCGAGGCGTGAATATTTCTGTTTCCTTTTTAGTTTTAGCGTTAAGAGTACTATATAATCATGTGTATTCATTGTATTTTGCTACAATTGAATATACAAAAAACGTGCAGAATTCTTACATGGTATCAGAGCCAAGTTCGAAACCCTAGCACTGTCAATTATTGAGTTTCAAACGACCTCTCTCTGCCATAAGAATTGTGATTGTACCCACATCGTAATCAGCATCGGTTCTCGTCGAAATTAGGCTCATCTAGCATTGGAATCATCGTACCTCAGCCTTTGGTTCATGTGATTGGTCCATCTGATTCGCACACCTCTTCATCGCATGTGTGACTCGCGTGGTGACCCATTTGGTTCAAACCTCTTCGTCACTCCTCTGACTCGTGTGGGTGACCCATCGTGATTAACTTAGCTTTTTTCTGGTCCTCTGTTTTGGAACTTCTGGTTCTCTGGAAGCTCTGTTATCTGGTTGTTTGTTCGACCCATCTAATTGTTTCATCTGGATTGACTAGGTTGAGAGAACGACGATTCAGTCGTGAAGCTTCTCTGTAACAATTTCGCTCTCTTCGTGGTTCTCTGATTTCGTGGGTCTCGATATCTCTCTCTCTGAGGTTGGGTCTCGATTGGTATTTGACCTATTTGATACTATTTTACTGATATTATATTTAGACCTAACACTTTTCTGGTTATTACATCGCGGTTTTGGATTTAGGGTTTATTACACTTGAACCCTTCAGTTTTTTGGTTATTATGATGTCTCTGGCTTCTGACGAGTGTGCCTTCTGCCATTAGAGGGGTTATTGGAAGTACCACTGTCCCAAGAAGGGACGTCTACTTGCCTCGTTTTTTTAGCAGTCTCATAACCAATTCTGGGCTCCTCCCGCTACTTATATTGCATCTGCTCCGGCTTCTGATCTTGGCTTGGCTTCCTTGAGTGTTCGAATTAGTTAGCTTCAGCATATCCTGTTTACCTCCAAACCCTCTCCATCTGCCTTCAGTGTTTCCTTTCCTCATTTAGGTTTGCTTGGGTTTTCTTTAGGTATCTCTCCGTCTGTTTGGATTTTTGACTCTGTTGCCTTTCATCATATGACTCTCCCATATCTCTTTACTTCAAAATTGTACTTCTCCTCCCTTTCCTATTACTGTTAATGCTGCTAATGGGTCTGGTATGTCTGTTATATTTGTTGGGTCTATCTTACCGTCTGCTATGTTTGCTATTTCTATTCCAACTGTCTTTTATGTTTCTCAGTTATCTGTCAGTTTATTATCTATCAGTTAGCTTGATGCCTTCGGTTTTGATGTTATCTTTTTTTCTTCTATCTGTTCTGTACAGGATCGGATGTCTAAGCAGCAGATTGGGACCAGCCGTAGAGTTAGAGACCTCTATGTGGTGGAGAGCTTACATTTGCCTATGACAACCTCTCTAACTGCCTTTTCCTCTTTTCAGTTAGATTCTCTGCCTAGTCCTTTCTACTTGTGGCATTCTAGATTAAGGCATTTGTCTGCTGATCGCTTACGGCCTTTAGCTTAGTCTGATATATTGGGTAAAGTTTCTCCTAGTGAACTTACTGAATGTCGAGGGTGTAAACTTGCCAAAATGACAGCCTTACCTTTTCATAAAAGTACTTCTATATTTGATTCACCATTTTTTTTAGTTCATATTGATGTTTGGGCCCTTCTCCTGTTCTCATCAAAGGGGGTTCTGCATACTATGTGTCATTTGTTGATGATTGCACCCGTTACACTTTGGTTTATTTTATGACTCATAAGTCTGACTTCTACCAGATATATCGTACTTTCTAGTCTATGGTCACTATACACTTTGGGTCTACTATTAAATTGTTGCGGTCTAACTTGGGTAGGGAATACTTTAAAATTGAATTCTGTGAATATTTGCCCAAATTGGGTACCATTCACCAAATTTCTTGTACTGATCCACCTACCCAAAATGGTCGAGCTGAGCGTAAACACTGTCATCTCCTTGAGACAGCTAGGTCTCTCCTTCTCTCTGCCTCCGTTCCGGCTCCGTTTTGGGGTGAGGCAGTTCTTAATGCTGCTTTTCTTTTTAACCGTATGCCTATCCCTCTTCTTTCTGGTCGGTTTCCTTATGAGGCTCTGTTTTCTCAACTTCCTAATTACTTTCGTGTTTTTGGGTCTGCTTGTTTTGTCCTTTTATCCCGTAAAGATAGGACCAAAATTAGTGCCCGGTCTATCCTATGTGTCTTTTTGGATTATAGTCTCACTCAGAAAGGTTATCGCTATTATGATCTTGTTTCCCGTCGCCTTTATGTCTCTCGCCATGTTGCCTTTCTCGAATGTCTACCTTATTTTCAGCTTCCTCCTCTCACCGCCCCAGTTTTTCAAGAGGATTTGTGTCACGACCCGAACCCGCCCCCATGGGTTAAGGACGTAACCGGCCAGTAATCCTAAGATTACCTACGGCCTCAAACCAAAACAGACTTAACACATCAGAGTAAAGGGGGCCAAAAAGGGAAGCAAAAATTTAAAACTTTGTCCATAGAGCCGTGCTTACATGCACATTAACAGACCATATTCAGTTACGTTAATAACCCACATCAAAAGTACAGTTTCACAAAATTCATTACAGACAGGATCATCCAAAGCGAGTCAACCTATGACGGACTATTTACAGATATACATAAAGTCCTTGCCGACAAGACAAAATATAATTACATAACACCAAAGGCAATGGTAGGTCTCAAGAGTGAGACATAAGGCTGACTTCCTCAAAACTCGGATTTTTCCTAGCAGACTTCACTGGGGCTGGGTTTGGACTTCCCTTGGCTCACCTACAAACACATAAATGAGCGTGAGCGATAGCCCAGTGAATAATATCAAATGCAGAAATTACATAACAATGTAAAACAACATGTTCCAAACGGCCTTTGGCCCAATTCACATTTCTATTCATGGCAAAACGGCCTTCAGCCCATTCACTTATGTCAAAACGGCCTTTGGCCCATTCATTTATGTCAAAATGGCCTTCGGCCCATTCATCTATGTCAAAACGGCCTTTGGCCTACTCGTTCATGTCAAAACGACCTTCGGCCTACTCATTCATGTCAAAACGGCCTTCGGCCCATTCATTTATGTCAAAACGGCCTTCGGTCCGTTCATTTATGTCAAAATGGCCTTTGGCCCATTTCCTCCACTACTATTACCATTCGGCCCATTCGTTTACGTCAAAACGGCCTTCGGCCCATACATTCGTGTCAAAACGGCCTTTAGCCCACTCATTCATGACAGAACGACCTTCGGTCCATTCATATAGGTCAAAACGACCTTTGGCCCGCTCATTTACATCAAAACGACCTTTTGTCCATTCATTTACATCAAAACGACCTTTGGTCCATTTTTTTGCATCAAAATGACCTTCGGTCCATTCATTCTTATCAAAACGACCTTTGGTCCATTCATTGATTCCCGTCAGACTTTTGTCCATAATCCCAATTAACAACTCATAAAGTTTATAAGGGAATAACAATTGGACATTGACAAGCTTTCAAATATTGATATTACTCACAGTGATCGGCTTGTGGATTTGCCCTAGAGCTTGACCCTACACGTTTCATGAACACAAAAGGGTCATTAACAGTTCAATCCGTTCTTTAATTCACATATTCCTCTTTAGGCTTTATTATTATCTCATTAACTCATTTACAATGCTTAACATATGCCTAAGAGTGCTTGCAAGTGAAAGAGAACGGAAAACAGAACACAAAATGCAAAAAACAAGATTTCAGAAAATAGGGTACCCACTCGAGCGTGGACTTCCCCGCTCGAGCGGACCCTTAGGTCTGCAAAAGTACTGGTTGCCTTCAATTTCAGCTCGAGCGTGAACTCGGCCGCTCGAGCGTACTGCCTGTCTACATAGCTCCCCGCTCGAGCGTCAAATTCCCCCGCTCGAGCGGGAACCATGTCTGCAAAAAAATGCTGGGAGCTCGTTTTCTCCGCTCGAGCGGCACTTCACCCGCTCGAGCGGACATCGAAAATCTGGGTTTTCCAGATTGAGTTCTTGAGCTTCATCTCGACATTCAAAGGTTCTAAATGCATGATTTCGATCCAAACTTCACATAATCATGTACTAACATGGTACAAACATAGAATTACAACATATTGAAGCTCAATTCCATAATTTATCTACATGCATGGCTCATTTTCCACCAACTCATTACCAATGTAACCATTTCATGCATTCAAAGCTTCTACTTCCATGGATTGTACATGCATGTGATGTATAACCTTCATTCTCATCTCATATGATGAAAAGATGGTCAAATACATGGATTTCAACCAAAATTGCAACATGAGTCATGTAATTCAAGCTCAAATATGCAAATTCAAAACAATACATACATGCATGCATATATAGTCTTCAAATTCATCAAAACCAACTCCTTTCATGAAATCTTGGGTTTGATCTTCAAATTCCCCAAACTTTGAGCCAAAACCACACAACTCTCTCCCTTCTCTCTCTAAGGCCGACCCCCCTCTCTCTCTCTATTCTTGAGTTCAAAATCAGCCAAAGTGTTATAAAGAGGAGGAATTAAAGTGTAATGGCCCTTATGTATAAGCCCACTAATCAAGTTCAATAATAATAAATAATATGACATTAATTCACTAATTAAAATCAGTTTAAATTGACCAGAATCAATTTTCAATTAAATTTCACCGTAGGCTCTAAAAATTATGCCAATCACAATGGCGTAATCAATTTCTGGTTCTGTAGCCGATAAGGCCTCCAATTTAATTTCCGAAGCGGTAAAATCAAACAGATATTCCTACGGTGAACAGATAGAAATTCAAAACCATATATTTTCACATAATGGCATACAAAACCATGCTAAACACATGACCATAACAACTTAAGGACCAATTAGCATAATACAGAACAGGGATGTCACAATTTGGTTCATATTGATCCGTTTCTTTCTAAGGTCCCGTCTGATGAGTATATCTTCACAGTTCCTCCTGGGCTTGTTCTATCTTCTCCTCATGCTTCACCTCTAGTTGCTTCTCCTCTTTCGGTTTCTTCTTCTCCTCCGTTGTTAGTTTATTCTCGTCGTAAGGCTCCTTCTCCACCGGTTGTCTCTGCCCCTGTTGTTGATCCTCCTGCTTCTAATGACTCTGATCCTGCTACCCACTGATATCCTACTCCAGCGTGTCATGCTCCAAACAGGTTGGGTTGGTCTAATACATGTTTTTTTGCTTCCTATCGTACTTTTTTGTCTACTATTCACTCTTTTTCCGAACCTCAGTCTTACAAGGAGGCTTGCCAGGATCCTCATTGGGTTCAAGCTATAGAGGATGAGTTGTCTGCTTTACAGAAAACTAGTACTTGGGAGTTGGTTCGTTTGCCTACTAGTAAGAATCTGGTTGGTTGCAAATGGGTCTACAAAGTCAAGACTTATTCTGATGGTTCTCTTGAGCGCTACAAATCTTGTCTAGTTGTCAAAGGTTTCTCACACGAGTATGGTATTGATTATGAGGAGACCTTTGCTTCTGTTGCCAAGATGACTACTGTTTGTACTTTGATCTCTGTGGATGCTGTTTGTTCTTGGCCTCCTTATTAGATAGATGTTAAGAATGCATTTCTTAATGGCCATCTCACTGAGGAGGTTTACATGCGTCCTCCTCCTGGCCTTCACCATTTCTCTGGACAGGTTTGTCGCCTTCGGTGTGCTCTGTATGGTCGAAAGCAGTCTCCTCGTGCTTGGTATGATCGCTTTTAGACTGCTGTTACTGAGCTGGGGTTTCATCCTTGTACCTAGGACTCTGCTTTATTTCTTCTCCACACCTCTGCTGGATTTGTTGCGTTATTACTGTATGTGGATGATATGATTATCACTGGTTCTGACTCTTTTGCTATATTTGAGGTCAAGTAACATCTTTTCCGCACTTTTGAAATGAAGGATCTAAGCCCATTGCGGTATTTTCTTGGTATTGAGGTAGCTTCTTCTCCCGAGGGCTACTTTCTATCTCAGGTCAAGTATATGCCAATGAGGTTATTCATCGGGCCGGTCTTACTGACACTAAGCTTTTTGATACCTCCATTGAACGTGATGTAAAGATCAGCCCTACTGATGGTGTTCTTCTGGATGATTCTACTTTATATCGAAAGCTCGTGGGTTGCTTAGTCTATTTTACAGTTACTCGTCCTGATCTTGCTTATGCTGTTCATGTGGTTAGCTAGTTTGTCTCTGCTCCTCGCTCCACACATTGGGCTGCATTGTTTCGGATTCTTCGCTATTTCCGAGATACTATATTTCAGGGTTTACTATTGTCCTCTACTTTCTCTCTGGATTTGGTGGCCTATGCTGATTCTGATTGGGCTGGTGATATTACTGATCACAAGTCGACGTCTGGTTTATGTATGTTTCTTGGCGATTCCTTGATCTCTTGGAAAAGCAAAAAACAAACTGTTGTTGCTCGCTTTACTGTCGAAACTGAGTATCGTGCTATGGCTCATACTACTGGTGAAGTTGTTTGGCTTTATTGTCTTCTTTCTAACTTGGGCGTCCTTCAGCCTTCTCCGACCTCCCTCTATTGTGACAACCGTAGTACTATTTAGATTGCACATAAAACTGTCTTCCATGAACGGATTAAGCACATTGAGATTGATTGTCACTTTGTTCGTCAGCATCTGCAGTTTGGTTTTATCTCGTTTCTTTTCTTCTCTTCGGCTCTGCAACTTGCTGATTTCTTTACCAAGACTCACACCACTGTCCAGTTTCAATTTCTTCTTGGCAAACTTTTAATGTTTTTTGCTAAAACACCTTGAGTTTGAGTTGAGGTGTGAGAATATTGTGTATATGTATATATATGGTAGTGTAGTGTGTGAATATTCTGAGAGATTAGGTGAATATTTCCGTTTCCCTTTTAGTTTTAGGGTTAGGAGTACTATATAATCAAATGTATCCTTTGTATTTTGCTACAATTGAATATACAAAAAACATTCAGAATTCTTACAGTGGGATGTCTGCACGTACCTCAGGCCATTTATGCACTTTTCTTCATGATGTATTTATCTTAATAAAGTAATTCCTTGTAGGTGTTTGAGTCATCTACCTGCAGCTGTTGGGAAGGATCTTGCTCATTTTGACCTCTGTGTGGCAAGAAAACAACCTGCTAATGGACTGACCTCTGGTGACTGGCTAGTCCTCCATGTGCAAGAGCTAATATCGCTTGCTTATCAGGTATATAAACCAATTATCATTATAATAGTTCAATGCTTTGAATAATTTCTAGGGCTTGAAATAGTTGTTTAAGCTGAAATATTTTCATATGCCACTTGTTGCAGATAAGCACAATCCAGTTTGAGAACATGCGGCCCATTGGTGTGGGACTTCTAAGTACCATTATGGACAAGGTATTGGTCTGTGGAATGCTGATTCTGCAAATCTTGTAGGATTTATTTATTAGTTGATGATTTATCTGAAAATAGATGTGTATCCTTTGTTATAGTTGTTTATTTGATGATGATCTTGCTTCATTACTCATAGGCTTGTTTTATCATTCTCAAATATCAGCTTGAGCTGCCAAATAACTTAATTTTTGGTGTCATAAGTTCCGCCCGTTATATGAAGCTGATGATTGAGAAACTACCTGACATGTGATAAGTTTCAAAATTGCTGATAAGATGATGACTACTGAAGGACTAGCCTATTCCTTAGGAGTGACAATTAATCCATGCAATGAATTACTATCTATGATCTTGTTTTCCATTCTTTTACAAGCTTGGTGGCATTTAATGGAGGGGATAAATTCTATGGCTTGTTTGTTTGAAGTGTGTCTTCTTACTTTCTATTCACTTAGTACCATGCTGAGACTCCAAAATTTACAAAAATGCTCTGATAGTTCATTTATGTCTTCTGTTGTGTGAATTACAGTTTGAAATGATACCAGACCCTGACCTTCCTGGACACCTTCTACTTGAACAGTATCAGGTATGCTGATTGAACTTGCATTAGGTTTCCTTCACTCTTCCTTCCATTTCAAGGATATAAATTTTTCATTGCTGAAACATGTTTCTTATTTGATGCAACTTCAGGGAATGGTTTTACAAAATATGTATATGTGTTTTCATAGTTATTTTTTATTTTCTTTCTTTCATAGATTTGTACTAAATTAATTCTGTACCATTTTTAGGCCCAACTAGTATCTGCTGTCCGCACTGCATTAGACACATCCTCTGGCCCTATTCTTTTGGAGGCAGGCTTGCAGCTGGCTACAAAGGTTTCAGAATAAAAATGAATATATATCTTTGATATATTCTAATTAAATTTTGCATATTAATGATGGGGTATATCTTGTAAAAATTTCAGATACTAACGAATGGGATAATTGGTGGAGATCAAATTGCAGTTAAGAGAATATTTTCATTGATATCACATCCACTGAACAACTTTGAGGATCTTTACTATCCATCATTTGCAGAATGGGTATCATGCAAGGTATATCATTTCACTATTCACCAAATTGTTCAATGTAAATTAAGAAGGCCAATTGGTGGATCTGCTCCAAATTATTCAATGTAAATTAAGGGTTGGTTTGGGAATAGGCTATTTTAGTAACTTTTTGGCTAAAATAAGAGGTGAAAAAAATTAGTATGCTTGGGATGATTTTTTGGATTTTTACAAAAAAAAAAAAAAAAAACGTGCACAAAGTAGAGAGGAAAGGGAATTTGTGACTTTTTTATATAGTTCTTTGGCCTTTTGGCTTTTTTATTGACTTTTTTACTATTATTGAAACTTCCCAAACTTGCCCTAAGAAGGCCAATTGGTGGATCTGTTGTGTTTCCTATTTTTTGTTGAAGTGAACTTTCAGCAATAGCCAAGTTCATCCAAGGAGCAGAAGAGGATATTATGTGGCTCACAGTTTTACACGGATAATATACATATATATTGATATATCTATGTATGTACATATGATGGTGAGTTGTTTTTTTATTTTTTATATTTACTAATACTATTCTTTTTTGTTGTCTAGATCAAAATAAGACTTTTAACCGCCCATGCCTCTCTCAAATGTTATACATATGCCTTCTTGAGGAAACAACATGCTGGGGTTCCAGATGAGTATCTAGCTCAATTACCATTATTTTCAGGAAGTTCAAGTGTACTGGGGAAGTACTGGATCTCAATTTTAAAGGACTACAGTTATGTCTGCTTCAGATTGCATCTTAAACAAAAAGTAAGCTTATTATTTGTGAAACCTGTTAGTATTGTCTTTGTGTCTTCCTTCTTCCATCTTTTAAATGTAAGCATAAACACGTAGAAATGTTGTAATTGTTTCCTCTGTCCGAAGTTATTTTGTTTTCTGTGACCTGTTTGCAGTGGAAACCATTCCTTGATGGAATTCAATCACCTCTGGTTTCAACAAAGTTGCAGCCTTGTTTAGAAGAAGCCTGGCCTGTAATCTTACAGGCAGTTGCACTGGATGCAGTTCCTGTGCATTTTGACATGAATCTATCTTCCCAAACAACTGGGAATAACTCAAATAATACCTTCATCTCTGGATACAGCATGGTTCAATTGAAACCAGAAGAATTTCAATTTCTGTGGGGCTTTGCTCTACTTGTTCTATTTCAGGGACAAGATCCAACCCTTCATAAACATTTGATATGCCTGGGTTCTGCTAAAGTCAAATTTGGTGGTGACTCTCCAGTTGAAGATACAAACCCTCTGGCTTTGAAGTTATATGAGATTGTGTTACCAGTGTTCCAGTTACTCTCCGCAGAAAGGTTTTTCAGCATGGGTTTTCTTACTGTGGATATCTGTAGAGAATTGCTGCAGGTGGTAGTCTATAACTATTCTTTTTGTCTTATAAACACTACATATATAAATTTATTTCTTTAATTCATCTTTGTTGTCTCTCATCTGTGAATTTATCTGAGCTGAATGTTCATGATTTTAGTTTCATTTGAAACTACTGACAAAGGTATTCATTCGCTTTGTTATTTAGAATTGACCTGCCTACAATTGAAAAGTCCATCCCACATTCTCCTTAAGGGAAACTGGAACCTTATAACTAGCACAAATGGGGCAACTCTAGGCGATGTGGGACACATTCCAACACACCTTCTTGGACAACATACAATAGCCAGATAAACGGCACACCAATCACAGACCCAACCAAGCTCTGATACCAAATCGAAAAGTTCAACCCACACTTCTCCTTAGAACCCAGGTTTTAAGGAAAAAGGAAACTAGAGCCTTATAACTAGCACAGATGGGGCAACTCTAGACAATGTGGGACACATTCCAACACCTACGCAACATACAGAACATCTTGCCTAGAAATTAATGGTTAATGTAATCTGCTAGTCAAAATGTCATTTTGTAGTTTGCCAGCTTTCTCCTGTTAGCATCAAGTGCGTCTTTCATTAAAGACTCCAAAATGATTTTTGTATGTGACTTTGAATTATATTTCTTCGAGATTTTGGAGATGTGGTTGCATTTTCTGTGTTTCAGTCCTCTAATAACCCCTTTTTTGAAAAAACAAAAAATAAAGAAAGAAATTGGCTACAACCTCCTATTAGTCTTTGTCATTGTTGCCACGTAGATGAAAGATTTAATCTTTTCAATATGTTTGGCATGTTTTGGCTGAACAACTTCATTTCTATGGAAACATGTGAGTTTGATGTTCCATCATGTTTTTCTTTCCATAACCAGGACATAGAAACATACTAGGCCATTTCAGTGGCAACAAAAGGAAACTTTTTTATTCATGACTTGAAGTTGCAAAAGTGTTAGGTAATTAGGTGAAATGTTCAAGGAGGCATGATCAGAAGTGTGTGCCGATGATACTACTGTTTCTTGTGAGGCAGAGGAAAAGCAGTCCAGTATTTACTTACTGTTTTGATTTGCTTTGAGGCAATATCAAGGTTGCTGTTTAATGCTAGGAAAGGCGAATTAATCCCAATAGGTTAGGTGACAAATTTTCAGGGATTGACCGCCACTTTGGGGTTTAGAGCGGGTTCTCTTCCCTCTGTGTATTTAGGCTTCTGCTGGGTTCTACCTTCAAGGCCATAGCAGTGTGGAATAGTGTTGCACAAAATTTGAGAAAAATTGGGAAGGAGGAAGAGGCAATATTTGTCCAAGGGTGGTGGATAGGGTGGAGTTGTTGAAAGAAGGGGAGGTTCGGATGGGGATTGTTGGGTTTTATGAGCATTTGTTTGGAAGATAGAGGGAAGGATGGCGCTTGGGGGTTTGATGGTGTGGAGTTTAGTGGGATGTCGAATTTTGATTGGTTGGAGCAGTCGTTTTAAGAAGAGGAGGTGATGGGTGCTTTGAAGGGAATGAGTGGAGATGAGGCTCCGGGCCTAGATGGATTCACTATGCCTTTTTTCCAGCATTGTTAAGAAGTTGTAAAGGGGGATGTGATGGCAGTAATGTGACAATTTTATTAGACATGCCAGTTTGAGGAGAGCTTCAATACGACTTTTATTACTTTCATCCCTAAGGTTGGAGGGGCTGGGGATATTCAACAGTTTCAGCTGATTAGTTTGTTGGAAAGTGTGTACAAGTTTCTAGTGAAAGTTTTGGCCAATAGGGTTCGGTTGCAAGTGGAAGATGTGGTGTTGGAATCACATAATGCTTTTGTGGGTGGCCGTCAAATTTTGGATGCAGTGTTAGTGGCTAATGAGTGTGTTGATTTTCCTTTGCGAGCGGTAGTCAGGCGTGATTTGTAAGTTGGATATTGAGAAGGCCTATGATAATGTTAGTTGGGATTTTTTTGATGTCTGTCATGGAGCTGATGAGTTTTAGGAAAAAGTGGCGGTGGTGGATTTGGTTTTGCATTTCGACGATACGAATGTCTGTTTTGGTGAATGGGACGCCAACGGGTTATTTCCAGACGTTTCGGGATTTGCGGCAAGGGTATCCATTGTTTCCTTTGTTGTTCATTCTTGTCATGGAGGTGCTGAGTCAGTTATTGTCTTGAGCGGTGCAAGACGGTTTGTTTACAGATTTTTCAATGGGGGATAGGGTTCATGTTTCTCATCTTTTGTATGCTAATGATGCTTTGATTTTCTGTGGGGTTGATTCAAAGAAATTAGGGAATTTGTGCTATGTTTTGCTATGTTTTGAGGCGGTCTCAGGTCTGAAGGTGAATTTGGCCAAGTCAGAATTAATTGCGGTAGAAGAGGTTGGCCATCTTTCGACTTTGGCAGCCATTTAGGGTGTAAGGCTGACTTTGGTGAAGAGCATATTGAGTAGTATTCCGACTTATTTTATGTCGGTGTATGTCATTCTTGTATTAGTGGCTCGCCGCTTGGAAAAGTTGCAACGAGATTTTCTATAGGGAAGTGTTGGTGGGGAGTTTCGGTATCATCTCGTTAGTTGGGAGCAAATTTGTTGTCCTAAGGAGGATAGGGGGTTGGGGGTGAGGAGGTTGTGTAAGTTTAATTTGGCTTTGTTGGAAAAGTGGTTTTTGAGGTTTTCCAATGAACGGGATCAATTATAGCGGAGGGTGGTGGCATCTAAGTATGGGTTAGGGAGGGGTGAAGGGTGTACCAGGGAGGTGGGGGTTCTCATGGGTGCGGATTGTGGAAAGGAATTTGGTTAGGTAGGGTTGAGTTTTGGGATCAAATCCAGTATCGAGTGGATAATGGAGCGCGTGTGCGATTTTAGAAGGATCGGTGGTGTGGGGAGATTACTTTGCAGAACCATTTTCCTTTGATCTTTCAGTTGGTGGTGGATCCTGATGTGATGGTGGCTTCATATTTGGGTGGAGGAGGTGCGGGCTGGTTTGGGATATAGTGCTTCGACGGTAGACTCAGGATTGGGAGTTTGGGTAATTGGTGGATTTGTTGGCTTTCTTATATGAGGTTAAGGTCGGCCGGGAGGGGGAGGATGTTTTGGTTGGGGGGGTTCCACATGCGAAATGTGTTTTTTTCGTCTCGTCTTTTTATAGGACTTTGTGTGGCGGTGGTAAGAGGCCTTTTCCTTCGCGTCACGTGTAGGTTTCTAGTGTTCCGTCGAAGGTGGTTTTCTTTGTGTGAAAAACAACATTTGGTAGAATTTTGATTGTTGATAATCTGATCCTTCGACATCATATTTTGGTGAATTGATGTTGCATGTGTTGTGCGGATGTGGAGGCAGTGGATTATTTGCTTATTCACTGTCTAGTTGCTTCTCGCTTGTGGGTGCTTGTTTTTTGGTTTGTTTGGAGTGGTGTGGGCTTAGCCAAAGCAGGTTATGGATGTGCTTTGTTGTTTGGTGGTGGGGGGGGGGGGGGATTGGGTTTGGGAACTGACTGCGGGGAGCCTAGGCGTTAGCTCCTTTGTGTTTAATGTGGTTGCTTTGGTTAGAGCGGAATTGTTGGGTTTTTTAAGGGAGTGCTCAGTCGATTGTTCAGTTAGAGTCTCGGTTTTGCAGTGCTTTGTACAGTTGGGTGCCGAGAAGAGTGGATCCTGATATATTTGATGTTTTAGACTTTGTTGATGATTTAATTGGTTAGGTCCTTGTTTGAGGGGTTGGTTTTGTATTCTTTTGGCATCTCCTTGATGCTTTCTTAATAAATCTTTATTTATCAAAAAAAAATATATATATATATATATTTGTCCAAGGGTGGTAAAGTTATTTTGATTTAGATTTATCTAGTCTTCCTACTTTACTTTATGTCTCTCTTCACTATGCTAGCATTGGTGAAGAAGATGCTAGAAAAGTTTCGAAGGAACTTTTTTTGTGGGGAGGATTTTAAATATCATCTAGTGAATTGGGATAGAGTGTGTACTCCAATAAAGAAAGGTGGTTTGGGTCTCCGTCACTCAAGCATTTCTAGTCAAGCTTTTTAAGGAAAGTGGCTATAGAGATACGTTTTTTTAGGGTTGTCAGTTATGGAGAAGGGACTATACTGTCTTCTGCCTGCCCTTGGGAAGACTAAAACAATAAATGGTAAATTATAAATACATTCCCTGAGGTTTACTTTAAATACAGATTGCCCCTTATGGTTTGAAAAATTACAAATACTTCCTTGTTATAATTTTTTATTTAATAGAATTAAGTAAAAAATAAAATTCATAATTGTTCTCATATACAATAATAAAATTACCTAAATTATTAATTGAAACATATTTCTAATATCATTAAAAATTGCTAATTGACTTGATGATTTATTAATACAAGGGGCGAATTGTTATGAAATTAGAAATATCAAGGGGTGGAATGTAATTTCCAGAATCACAGGGGCAATTCGTATTTTAATCAAACCTCAGGAGGTGTATTTGTAATTTACCCAACAATTAAAATAGTAAAACTAAATCAACACGAATTAAGAAACTCAATAATCCTAGGATATTCTATGTTATTGGATTATCTATGTTAGATGTCTTCCTTCTCCCAGACTTGTTGCAATTTTAAAGCATTTTATCATTATTTTTGTATGTAGGTTTTTTCATATTCCATTTGCTCGGAGGATACATGGGATAGTCTTGCAATTTCTGTCCTTTCAGAGGTAAATTTTTGCAAATATCTTCAACTAACTTAGGTTTTAGAATGGAAACTGATGAGTATCATTGAGAATCCTGGAAATGTGATGTATTTGTAGAATGATTCACAAGATGCAAATACAATTGTTGTTGCAATGTTTATTATGATATCAGATTATTTTTTTTAAATTTAATTTTTTTTGTTTTTTTTGTTTTTTGAGGTCATTATCTATTGCTATTACCCTTGCTATATTTAGACTTGCATATTCAATTTCATATGAAGATCCTTATATACATTGTTTGCTACTATTTTGCATTCATGAAGTTCTTTCTTTGTCTGAATTTGAATTATATTCCTAATAAAACGTTGTGTGGATATTTACGGAGTGTTATTCAATGTTTGGCATGTCAAAGCCATAGGATTATATATTAAATCTTCTTTTGTTTAACAGATTGTCCAGAACTGCCCCAAAGATTTCCTTGAAGCTGAAAATTTTGCATCTTTGGTCGTGGAACTTTGTTTGGCTTACCTTTTTAAAATTTTTCAGAGGTACCATTGTTTGTTTATATGCTTCGATTGTTTTTTTTGCGAATGGGGTACCCATGTGTACATAAATGTATTAAGTTTTTTTGTCCAAGGCTTCTCATTTAAGGTATTTACTGAATTAATAATCTTTCTCTGAATGATTGTTGCTGTTTTGTTGTCAGTTATGCTGCAACTTGTTCAGATAATTCAGACTGGGAGGATATGATTTCTGTGTCGCTTACTACAGCAAAGACACTCCTTGTACGTCTTGAACCTGAGGTAGGTTAAACAGATCCTTACTCCCGTATTTATTATGCTTCTTGATCCAATCTTTACATTGCCTAGTTCTCTCAGTTAGCAAGTTGATATCCTCATTTTGTTTAAATTTCTTGTTGGTGAAATGCAGAGGCAATTAAAATCCATGTTAGCATTTCTGTTAATTGGTTACAAATACATTAAAGGAGCTTCAACTGAGTTATGCTTTTCAAAAGCTAATGACTTTGTCCAGTGCATGAGTTCATTATTGAAGACACATATTGATGGTGAGCACTTCTCCTGCTGCATGCTTTGACTTCTATTGTATCCCTCAGTTTCTGATCAAAAATTGATTTTTTTAAATGCATAAATGTTTACTTAGATCAAAATGCAAATCTACAATAAAATTCAAATTTAATGAAATTGAATCGATCCTCGACCCTCATAAAATTCTATTATGAGTATGTTTTTACGCTTAGAAGTCTTCACAATTTGATATCATTTTTTTTTTTTTTTGTGGGTAAATAACATTTTGTATCCCTTACCATTTCATCAAAATTTCACTTCAGTAATTGTGGCAGGATAAACTTTAGATTTAGCCTTTATTAACCTCCATAGGAATATGGATGGAAACTTAACCTCCTGGCCTACTTAATAGTTTATTAGGTGAAATCTCAAGGACTGAGGGTGAAAGTGTAACGTAAGTTAGGTCATGCGATAATTGCATGCTTGCTGTCCATTAAACTTAACAACAAAGATAACAAAGGGTTGACATTGAAATTTGACAAAAACTTATGATCTGTTACTATTCCAAATCAATTTTTTTTTTTTTAACTAATATATTGGAAATTATAGGGATCATGGATGATGAGGTCCATAAGTTTTGTGGTCATACGAGTTGTTCCTCTAAGAAGAATTACTGTCAAAGATTAGATTGCTTTAATATGTTGGTGTCGCAACTGCAAACGAGTGTGGAAAATTTTAGTTCTTTTCGAGAGGTCTTTAGATTATGGATTATTGTTACATGAATAAATTTGTAATTATGTGGCCGGACAGACATTCAGCAATTTTCTTTCTTACAGCCATATGGGGCTATTAGATCGTCACAGTAGACTTCTATCATTGATTGATTGGCCTGGTAATCATCTATGGGAAGATTTGGGTTGTGCAACTGATTCACAATTAGCTCTTGGCAAGGAAGTGGAATTTGAAAAAATGAGTTGGGGCAGACATAACAAGCTTTAGTTCTGGTTAGAAGAAAAAATGCTATTTGGGGCCATAACATGTATCCTTTCACAATTTATCAGCTTTGTAGCAAAATTTGTCCTCTTTAGCAGTATGGATTACTTGACCCAAGTATCTACTTAGTACCGAACATAATAAATTTTAATTTTAATCCATTTTCCTTGCTTCCTCTTATGATGGTTGTTAATCCATATTCACCATGTTTCTAGATATTTTCAGCTGCACCATTGGTTAGTCATTTGTGGCTTTTAAAATCACTATGTTATTAGCCAACATGAAAACTTCTTTGAGTTACACGAAGCTTGTAAGCATTGTAGCTGTTCTTAGATTATTATAGTTATTTACGCCAGTGCTTTCAAAACTCTCTGGACCATAACATTTTTGTTGACTACCTGTTGATGTTTGTTTCAAATTCCATTCAATCTCATGTAACTGCTGTTAGAATTGAAGTTCATATGGATAACCAGATCAAGTATAGTAGGAACTTTGGCAGACCTTTCAGCAAAAAATGAGAAACCCCTTCCTTAAAAAAGATTAAAGCAGACTTACTGAAATATTGGTGTGTTCTTTGATCTGTTCCTTTCTAGTTTTTTGGCCATTTTCCTTCTGAAGGACTTCTTGTTCTTCTTTAGCTTGTAATCTTTTTGTTATTATAGTAAGTTAATAGTTTTGGTTTCTATAATATGAAGATACTCATCTTTGCTAAACACACCGTTGTGTGTAATATGATCCTTGTAGGAGGTTCCAATGTCAAGGAAAATGCATTTTAGGCAAATCCTGTATGTGATTATGGTTTGTTGCTTATACATATTGACATATTGCATGGAATGAAATAATTCTCTGAAGAAGAATATGCCTTAGTGTTAACATCCTCTGATATACCATTGCATCTGCTGGCATAACAGTTTTATGGGTTTTCTTACTAATTTCTATATAATTTGCTATAGGAGGAGTTGTTCCAAGTGGTTTGATGCTCGTTTATTGTAAATGTTCTGTAGGTAGCTAATCGGTTGGTTAATTGCAGATAAATCTAAATCAGGTGATGATGGCATTTGCTACATGAGAACCATAATTGGAGCTTGTCTAGATGTGGTTGCTAGTTTAACAAAGGATTGCATTGAGAGCATTCATCTATTGGAGAAGAAAAGGTCTAGCACATGCAAGCTGCTGCAAATGAAGCTTGCTTTTGCCCTCAAACAAATGCCTTTGTTAGCTAAGCTGGCTTATGAAATTGAGTGTCCAGGAGAAAACCAAGAGAAAAATCCCATCTTATTTACTGTCATCCAACATTGCACTAAATGTATCCAGACCATTCTTTCTGACACCAACATACAGGTAATAAATTTCAATACATGCAGTATCCGATAGCTAGACATTCTAATTTCCCAATCACCAGGCACAGCTAAAGCAGCTGGTGGAACTTGGTGTGTGCAGGTTCAAGCAATTGGTCTGCAAGTGCTGAAAAGCATTGTACAGAGAGGCAACAATTCCGAAAGCAACTCTTTCCTACTGTTCTTTAATGGGGAGCTTCTTAGAGATATTTTCACTATAATTGACAAAATGCTGAAGGTATTCTTTCCTTCATAAAAAACTCACTTGGTCAAAATTAAGTTTTCATTACTCTAATAGAGCATTCCAATGCTATTGATGACAGAAACCCATAAACACAGAAGCAGTGGCTATTGCCAGTGAGTGTTTGAGAATCTTGGTGATTCTGCAAACATTGTCAAAAGCAAGTGAATGTCAGAAAGGTCTTATGAATCTGCTTTTGGAAGCTATTGTCATGGTTTTCTCAGCATCAGATGATGATCTTTCTCAGGTAACACGAACCTTCAAAATTCACTTATGATTACTTGTGTCTGTCATCAACCTTGTGCTGATTGTGCATATTACTGACATGCAGGAACTCAATGATTTAAGAAGCACTGCTAGAAAGCTTGTTTCTCAACTTGCTCAAATTCCTTCCTCAGCAGTTCTTTTGAAGGATGTCTTGTTAGCGATGCCAGTTTCAAACAGACTGCAACTTCAGGTGCTTTTCTTTCTAAATCTAATTGTGCAGAAAAAAATGGAAAAGAACAATTAACTGCTGTCTCGTGTTGACTTTGAAATGACACTTCTTTTATTGATCATCTGAAGAGCATTGATTTGGGGGTGAGAATAATATTGATATTCATGTTGCCTTTCTCGAAAATAAATAGATAAATCATTTTCTCTTAAATTTTTGGAAGTTTTGTACCCTTTTATTCTGCAGCACTGTTTCAGTGGTTGAATCCTAACATTTTTGACAGTGCCAACATCCTCCAGCAGAAATGTTTGTCTAGCATTCCTATTTGTTGACCACATCTAAGAATTATTTTTGGGATCTCTTCCTAGAATCCACAACCTTTACCATCCACATCTATTCTTAGCTTGTAAGAAAACCATCTTGCTTTCAGTTATATGGTAGTCTGAGTAGAAGTTCTTGCCTGTATCCTTTCAGGCCACGTTTGATTCGCGGACATTATTAAGCAGAATATGTTATGGAATTTTGTAACAAAAGTGTAGAGTTTCCCCACCCCTCTCCCTAGAATAAAATGATCCCACATATGCAGGATAAAAGGCCCTCTCGGGATTAGTTATATCGTGTCAGAAAGTTTGAACCAAATGTGGGATTATTTTACCTGAGTTTATTTAATCTGATCCAGTCCCCTTATTTGCAAATCAAACGTGGCCGCGGAGTATAAAAAAATTAAGCCCAGTTTTAGTTCCCATTGGATGGGGGTCTGAGAGGGGATCCTTTCAGAGTATCAACTAATAGAAATGTTTTCTTCCATCAAGGTTTTCAGTCTATTATATACCTCATCTGATCAATGTTGACCAAAGAAACATTTATTTATTATTCCAGAAATAATGACTTGATCTGAACCACCATCCAACAATAGCTTCTGCTTTTGTTTGGAAGAAAAAAAAAAAATCTTTCTTGATTGTTCCCTCCGATATTATGTGTTGGGCACTATGAACTTTCTTGACTCGTGAGCTTAGCCCATGGGGGATGTAGCTTCTTGAGTTTTGACCAAGAGACAGCAAAATCTGAAATTCTGAATTACATTGGTGGCTGCTGTCATCAGTAGTACCAAATTTTGTTTGTGTATGCTAGTAGTATTCTGTATTCTGTATTTGATTTTATTCTTGACCTTAAAACTACATGGAGAATTTAAAGGAGAGGATTGTTTATTTAATCAAGGAAATTTTCATTTGACTTCCAATTTTGCTTTTCCAGGGAATCATTCGTGCTTCTGTTACCCAAGAACACAATACAACACAAATGAAATCCACGATGCCATCTTTGGTGATAAAGTTACCTGTGCAAACAGAAGAAACTAGAGAAAAAGGCCCCACCACATCAACTTCTATAGAGCACTTTGATGATAGTAGTGAGGAAGAGGAAGAGGAAGAAGATGATTGGGATACTTTCCAGTCATTCCCTGCCTCTACAAATGAAGTTGTGTCAAGTTCAAAAGTTGAAAGTTCCATAGAAGAACCTGCCTTGGTTGAAAACCCTTCAATTTCAGATTTTAATGCTGGAAGCAGTGACTTCCAAGACCACTCTGATTCCGTGCCTCCAGACAATGTAAAAGAAGTCACTGATGCAGATCAAAAGTTTATTGAAGGGGAAATGATATCTGATGCAGGTGGTGGCAAAAATCAAATAAAAGAATCTCATTGTTCCTACTATAGTAGCCATGATACTGAGCAACGTAATGGTCACCATCATCAGGAAAAGGATGGACCAGTGCCAAGCCCTGATGATCAATCATTGTCTGATCTTCAACCTGTTGAAGTTGCAGAAGGATTCACTGAGCCATGTGATGATCACTTCGAGGAAAGAAGGCAGACGTTTTCCAGCAATGAGAATCAACAGACATCTGATCTTCAATCTGTTAACGTTGCAGAAGCTTGCATTGAACCATTTAATGACCACAACGGGGATAATATTCAAGCAGAACTAAGCTGTGAAAATGACCAGGTCTCTGATCTTCAATCTGTTGACTCTGTACAAGGATATACTGAACCATTTGATGATCACCATCAGGATGGAGATGAAATAGTTGCCTTTGATTATGATAGTGATCTAGCCTTGTCTGATCTTCAATCAATAGAAGATGCAAAAAGATCAGTCCAACTCAATATAGCAGGTGATGATGAGCAAAGCAAGAGGAGTCCAGGTGAAGTAAATGATCTTCCAGGAAGCTCAGATCCTCTGCATCCTAAAGTTTTTTCTGATTTCAAACACCCCATGGTAACAGAAGATAAAACACAGGTGGGGTTGAATGTGGAAGCTAATGAAGAAGCTGCAAACAAAATGACAGCTAAAAACGAGAGCGCTGACATGCATGACGAGAGTAGTGAAGGTTCAGGATTACCAGAGGGAGTAGATAATAGTACACATGTGGAGTCGAATGTGGAAGCTGATGAAGAAGCTACAAACAAAATGACAGCTAAAAACGAGTACGCTGACATGCACGACAAGAGTAGTAAAGGTTCAGGATTACCAGAGGGAGCAGATGATGGAGAGAAAATGGAAGTTGCTAGTGACATTGATAGAACTTAGGTATTTGTTGCAAGGAGACTAAATTTTGTTCAAAGTTGGTGTGCTATATAATCCAGGCACAATGGGGTGATGGTCAAATTTGAGATTCCTATTATACTTGAATATGGTTTCGAGTCTCAAGTGAATTGTAGTGTCACAAGTGCATGTGTACAACAGGAGCATACCACTGTGAGCTCCGGTTTCAACTTATCTGGGTATCCTAGATAATCTACCGGAGCTAGAGCTATTGTATTGTTGGAGAGTAGAATTGTTTGGGAGTTCTGAAGTAATGATTTTTTGAAATCTTGGTTTACTCCATTCTTCAGCAGTGTTTTGGGGTGATCGAGGGGTGGGGAGATAAAAGTAACGAAGATCAGTTAGGCGATTCAGGAAGGTCAGAATTCGTTCCGTAAGTACAGCGACAACTCATATGAAGGTATGATGTTTGTACCCACATAAAGAGACATGGTGTGTGAACTTGCTGCATTTCATTTTGTTTTGTACTTATTGCAAGCTATTCACAATGCTTATTTGCAAGATTCTGCTTATCCTTGTTTTATTACTTGAACCGGTCTCCAAAGGGTTCATTTGTTTCATCCTCCCTTGCAATTTTTCGCCATTACGTTAAATCGTTGCTAATTGATTTCGTAGATGGCTAATCTTCATTTGATCTTAAACCATTTCTGTACTGCCACATTATTTGCTTTGTCCAGTAAGGTTAGGAAATTGCATCATTAGAAAATTTATTCATGACCATCTGTTAAATTAGGCAAGACACTAGATATCTCAACGTTTTACTATGGGGGCCATTGCTTGGTACATTAGGTTTGAACCTAACTTTTGGCATTATTCCTTGGTACAGTCCAGTTTGTTTAGTGTGTGAAAAAATAAATAAAAAATCTAGGACAAATATGATGCACAAGTGCAATAGGATAGTGCCATACAAGAATCAAGGGCGGCGCCACAGGATGGAATTGATCAACTGACCCATCAACCAATATTAAAAATTAATAATAAAAAAATATTTCTCATATTTATTTTGTCTATGGAAAATGCTTGGGACCCCCACAAAGGAGGATCCCCACGATCTCCACTGATGTATTGACCATTGATGTGTTTGAATTTTTTTTTCTTCTATCTCTTATAGTGACATAAATGGTTCAAATTATTTTGGAGTTGTGGGGGTTGTGTTTTGTGAGAATCTCTATCATTATTGTTAGTCTATTTGCAAAGAGCAATCGTAGAAGTTATGCATTTGTTTTTTTATGAAGTCATTGGTATGAATGCTCTGAAGTTTTCGTTTATTTGGGAATTAAAATTTAAAATTTTCTTTGTCACATTATTGGAAATAAATTATATATATAATATTGAAAGGAGTGATTTTGTTATATATATGTACACATTGTACAACTTAATCATTGACACATTAGGGGGGGAAAATTCTAGAGCCGCCACTGACTAGATTTGGTCTGAAAATATACAAATCCATATACAAAATAGCTCTCTGTATTTCTCTTCAATTTCATGAGTTTTCTTACATCCCATAGTAACTGCTCAAGTTTTCGTTTAAATGGAAAATACTTCTGTTCTTTCATAGTCGCTTAGGCTGCTTGAGCAAGATAAAGAACCATTGAATATTTGAAGCCTATTGAGAATAACAAGTACCCACAGATTTTTCATTTTGGAAGACCTTATTTTTTGGCAAATATTATAGAAAACGTATGTGCATTACAAACAGTATTTGAGCTGGCTATAATCCCAAGATTATTTCTTCTTTTTTTTTTCTTGGGACTTCGGGACTTTCAACTGAAAAAAATCATGATATCCTTCCTCTTTTGACATTGACGATGACATTGAACAGAACATTCAATTTATAGAAGAGTTAGGTTAGGGATTTTAAATAAATTATCAAAATTTTTATTAAATCTCTCACGTAGGTGTGAGATCTGCACACGTGATTTGTGTGGGTCTTATACCTATGTGATAGGTTTGGTAAAAAATTTGATAATTTATTTAGGATCCGTAACATTTTCTTTTACAGAATTGATCTTCAACCATGCAAGTATTATACCCCTTGATATTTGTGATATCACTCTACCTCTTGTGACTCTGACTCTGATTGATTTCACCAAGGTTTTAAAAATCGAACCGAATTAGTTGGTTTGGTCGGTTGAACCATTAATCGGTCGAAGTTTCAGTCTGGATAAACTTTTTAAATCGTTCCAATTCAAATATCGACCTATTTAGAGAGAGCTGGAAAAATTGACGGTTGGACCGCCGAATCGGTTGACCCAGGGATGGGTCAAGTGAACCGGCCGGGTTGATAAAATTAAAAATTTCAAACGTTTTTTTGATATTTTTTAACTTTTTTTTTTAATTATTTCTTTTTTTCTTTCTTTCTTATTATATATATATATATATGTAAAAAAATTTTAATTAAAAACTCTCTTTCAAAAGTCTCATCTTGTGAGGAATTCCATTGAGAGTTTAAAATTATTATAAGTCTTTACCTAATTATAAGAAAAAATTCTTTAAAAAAACTCGAGAAATGCATGGGAGATTTAATCAAATTTATTGGAGAGAGACTTGAAATTTTGATGTCTTTTCAAAATTTTTGCTCTTCTTTCAATCAAATTATTTAAATTAAAATTATATGGAAGGAATATTGAATATTTGGTTTCATATTGCAAAATTAAAATTAATAATATTTTAAAATATATTATTATATTTTTTAGTAAAAAAAATATTAGGAGAAGTATTTAAGATAATTTAATATTTTTAATTTTTAATTTTATTACTTATATTTTTATTTAAATATAATTTTAATATATTTATTACGTCACGATTCGATTTCGGTTCAACCCGACAGTTGAATCAGTGACCCATCCACCCAATCTCTTTTCCGATTCGACCACCGGTCCGGTTTTTAAAACATTGTTTCCAGATTCTTGCCATTTAATATTTTCAATTTTTTTTAATTTATAATTTTATTACTTGTATTTTATGTAAATATAATTTTAATATATTTATGACGTCATTGTTTAATTCTGGTTCAATCTGACGGTTGAATCGGTGACCTATTCACCTAATTTTTTTTCAATTCACTGACCAGTCTGATTTTTAAAATATTGGATTCCAAATAAACAATTGTGAAAGTAGGATGAAAAAAAAAATTGTATTAAAAAGAATACAATTGTATTAAAGTTGTACCCCTGACCTAGGAGGCCATGCTGAAGGTTCGAGGCTGTAAGGCCATCAAACCTCGGAGGCCTTATAAAATACAACTTGGGCATGTCATCTTGCTCAGATGAGTGTTCCATGTGAAATTTTACACACAGCTCTTGTCATCCATGTCCTGCAAGAACACACAAAGGTCATGTTAGCATGAAAACTGTGATATATTCTCCTAGCAATTCTTTTAATTGTGTGTTTGCGCAAATTCTTTATCACAAATGTATTTATGTTGTTCTAGCAAGGCAATATGAATTAAGATTACACTCTAAAAAATAGAAGAAATGCTTTTTCTTATATGGATAGGAAATCTCTATGCATTTGTATTGTGTAATGATGTATAAATATCTTCTGGCACCGTTATATCGCCATTTTTTTTATCTTTTCTTTTTTCCCATATAAAAGCAACAATTTACAAAACAAAATTTTACCCGATTTTTGGTCTCTAATACTAGAATGTTTGCACCGTGGTGTTCTTCGTCATCTTTTTCTCCTCCAATGTTGTTCTGACAGCAATTTTGGTCACTCACATCGGCAAAGATAGAGATACCCATTAGAGCTATGAGAATGTTTCTCTATCTTTGTTTTCAAGTTTGAGAATGTGTGATACATGCCCTTGGGCTTCTACTAGTTATAATGGCTGGGAGTGAAATGCTAGACTCCTCTTTCCATGCTGAGCCCAGGCCACCTAATGTTAGGTTATGTTTGGTGAGGGAGACTATCTCATTTTTTTTTGGGGGGGGGGGGGGGGGCTCTAAATATATGTACTTTAATTTCTTTCTACACCCACTATAATATAAAACTTGGGCAAATTACAAACACCCCCTCGAGGTTTGGTGAAAATACAAATTTCCCCCTGAGCTTTGAAAAATTACAAATTGCCCCCTGAGAGTCAAATTTTCATAACAAATTAGAAAAAATTAGGGGGGAATCTGTATGAAAATAAAAACCTCAGGGGGCAATTTGTTATGAAAATATAAACCTCAGGGGGTGGGATGTAATTTCTCAAACATCAGGGGGGAATCTATATTTTTACAAAACCTCGAGGGAGGTGTTTGTAATTTGCCCTATAAACTTTGTACCTCATGTGAAAATTTTGTTAAGGGAGCCAAAGTAAAATTATTTAAATTTCAGAAGAGCTAGATAAAAACTTTAGATTTTGGAGGAGCCGAAATTATAATATATTGTTTAATATCTAAAATACTATAGGGTTAGTATGTCTTTTTCTAAAGTAGGCAAAAATATTAATTTATTGCATAAATGTCTAAATTAGCGTGGGACTAAATGGTAAGCGTAGTTCCTCAATATTGTTCTCTATTTTAGGAGCAAGTTTTTTGGTGCATTTTAAACTTACCCTCTTTTAGTGACACTTTGGAAATACTTTTTGCTGTTTAGCCCTCATGCTTAGGAGCTTAAATGATGTTTAAACCACTTCAACGTGAAATGTTTTATTAATAGTAATTAGTAATTTGATTAGTTCAATTAATTTCTCCAAAAGATAATTATTAAATTTGTTATTGTTGAAATGCAATTCTGTAGTTTAAGTTATGATTGAATTAAACTGCTTTTTCATACCATGTTTTCGAATATCACTTTTTAGTTTAAAAGTCAAAAAATTATTTAAAAAATAAAAAACTTAACAAACTATACAAAAAAGTCAACGATTTTAATTTATAAAAAAAAATCAAATATTTTATTTTATCTCTACTATTTGCACATCTTTTTATAAAAACCTAAAAAATATCTCAAACTTATTAATTTTTTTTACCTTATATTTTATCCAAAAAATTAAAAAGTTACTAAAATAGTTTGTTTTTAAATGTCTAACTAATTGTTAAATCTTTTTTTTAAAAATATATATTAGCTAATGGAAAATGCACTATAACAACTCATGACCCAAAATTGAAAGGAGTAGGATATATTTGAAACAGAAGTGATTTAGACCCCCTCAAACTTCAACCTCCACCATTCCCCACATACACGTGGCAAGTGGTGATTGAAAAAGAAAAAGAAAAAGAAAAAGTGACCAATCAAAAAAGAAAGGGGGTGGGGGAAAGGGGGTCCAAATCTTTATTCTATTTGAAATAAGGTCTGGACGGTCTCCTGTCCAAATTTGGAAAGTCCGATCTAATTCGGTCCATTAGGCCTACTTTTGGATCCTTGTTCGATAATCAAAATCGTTCATATTTTAAGATTTGTTGAGTAGATTATTTTTGTAAAAAATCACTTCGATCGGATAACGAATACTATGTATTCAGATCACTTTTGTCTAGAAAAAAATGGACGGTTAGAAAATTAACGATTCATAAAAAAGTGATCCAAATACATAGTATCCGTTATCCGATTGAAGTGATTTTTTACAAGAATAATGTACTCAACAAATTTTAAAATATAAACGGTTTAGATTATCGAAAAATGATCCAAAAATGAGCCCAATAAATCAAACTGAACCCTCCAGTTCGGATGGTGTGCTGGAGCCAAGCCCCAGCCATTGAAATATCTCCAAAGTAAGATGCTAAAACAAAATATTTCTACAAATTTTTTTCATTCACATAGTGTATCATCCATCAATAATAAAATTATACACAGCATGATAAACCTTACGGCAAATTATAAAAAATAAATAAATAATAATAATAACAAATAAAATAATCATAATTTGACCCTTACAACAAAATATATTGTATTTGATTTTATCAATGTAAATCTTAATTTTTTGATTTGTTTTTAATCAAAACCATTAGCTTATTTTCATTAAGTAAAACTAATAAAAAAATAGTATTTTAATTATTAAATTCAATGTAGATATATATATATATATATAATGTCTATAAAATATCTTCTTCCTCTTTTTTGTTGAGTTTAATGAGTAATTTTTTGTTTTTTTGGTGTCAGTTTTAGTTAACAGAAAAATAGCCAAATAATTTAGATTAAAAATAAATCAAAAATTTAGAATTTAAATTAACAAAATTAAAAATTTAAGATTTATTTTGTTACATTGGTTAAACCCTATGATATTTTTAATTGTTTTTTCATAATTACTATTTAAATGTAATTTGTTCTTAAAGAATTTGTCACGGTCAAATATGGGGCTTGATAATTTGTTATTTGATGATAATATTATTTGTCCATGATGCGTAGTATTATAATCATATTTACATTTGTTGGTCTTTTTAGCTTTCGAATGTTATTATTGTAATTGCGAGCTTGTCAATAAGGATCAATCAGTCCTTACAGGAATTTAATTGCCAATCAATTATCAGACGAATGTGTTTTAGTTCTCTCAGCCTCAATGAAGAGGACTTTTACTGGTGACTTGATTTAGGAGAATTAAGCAAAATATCGATCAAATAAAAAATAACTGAAGTATTTCATTAGAACGAAAAACTTACAATGATTCAAACTCAGCCTCGTAGAGGTTTACAGCGACAATCTACTTGAAACTACTCCTATGAATGAAGTGTAGTGCAGAATTTAAATTTACTAGAATGTAAAGAATAGGAAATATAAACCTAAGTAAAGTAGAATAAGACTGGTTTTTGGATCTGAGTCTGGGGGCCACTTTTCTGGGGCCTTCTCTGCTATTTATATTGCCTAAGGACGTCCATCGAACTGTATTTCCAACCGTCGAATTGCTCCTCCATGATTGCTGATCATGTTGCCTCAAGATTAGCTCCATTACGCCATCACTTGCAGTTAGGCTTCCCTTTTAAATTTGAATTCAAATGTGAGTAACCGATGATGCCACATCACTTTGTATCTCTCTGCTGATCCACTGCTACTCAGATCTCGTAACAACCAATACTAACTGCCACGTGTACGATCAGGATCGAAGATTTGAATAGTCTTCTCATACTATTATTTTGCCACACGTCGAATTATAATTGGCTTGTACAAAATATGTAGTCAACATTACCCCCCGCACTAATATACCAAATACTTGGTGATATTAGTGGACCCAGGTCTTTTTCCCACGTCTTAGAATGTGCATGGGTTTCGCATTTTCCCAGAATGCAACTGTCATTTACTATCTGCATTAAACTCTCCTTCAATCTTTTGAACACCCCCACCACCTTAGCATTCGAACAGACTGATACATTTTATGGCCGAATCAATTTTCTCCTCCAATGATCGAACAAACGAAGAGCCATATGACGATGTTGTTCCTCCTAAAAAGAACCTCCATGCATTAATTAGCCACCTTTACCCACATTTCTATATTCAGGTCATGGATGCCTTTGTAAATTATCAACCCTTGGACTTCGAACATATTGCCCTTAATCCTTCAATTCAGAAACTCATAAATATGGACATGGGAAGTTCTTCCTCACACTTGGACTACGAACAAACTGTTCTCAATCCTTTGATTCAGAAAGTTGCAAATATGGACATGGGAAGTTCTTCTTCACAACCTTCTGCATGGGACAAGGCTACGACTTATTCCTCTTCTGGGGCTTCTGACTGGACAAGCTGGTCAAAACCTGAGGCCTGTGATTTGAGGGAACAAATCAACCATCACTTTGTCGAATTTACTGACCCTTTAGAGTTCCCTTCTTATGCGCGAAGCTCGGTGGTCTATCCCTACGTGCCTATTGACCATCGACGCAGTTCGGAGGAGAATCTGCTTATAGCATGGTATACATCCTCTATAACTACAAAGATAGTGCACGCCGCCCGACGCTTAGAAGAGGCACAAGGGTACAATCCATCATTCTTAGCCCAGAAGGCAAAGATTTGTTCTTCTAACTGGCTCGATTATATTAATGCCCTTGTTCCTTCTGCCCTTGTTCCATCTTCTGAAATAGAAGCATCCACACCTTCCCCTCCGCTAAATCCTTGCTGGACAGAGAGATTGAGGCTTGCCCTTTCCGCAGATCAGATCTTTCCACCCTATAAGCCTCCACATTCCCCTACTCCAGCTGAGCGGAAGCAAGCTCAACTTCTGCTCGTGGCTTTTTCTCACTTGCCATTCAATGTTCTTGAGGACGAAGTCTCTTTCCAGAACCTTTGATGGGCTTGTGATATTCTGACTCGGGGTCATGTCCTCAATCCCCTCACCCAAGCAGAGCTTCACATGTTTTTGGACCAACTTCCATTGCTTCTCTACTGGCATCGGACCTCTATGGCCACCACACAATCTTTAGACCAACTTTCGTCCCTTCGAATTCATGCCCAGTACGAAGCAGAGAACTTCATTGAAGAATTCGATGATTTCAAAAATAAAGATTTTGCGTACTGGGATGACTTAGAGATAGACGAATTGGAACAAGGATTGAGAGAAACAACATTCAAAATAAATGCTGAAGAGCTATTTTACGAAGTGAGAGCACATCAACTCAAGTAGCCAATGTTAGAAGAAATAGAGGATAGAACAAAGAAAGAACAGAAATTCATTAATCATTGTTGGACTAAATTTCATGATCTTGTTATTTATTCTATTCCCTATTTTTATGAGCTTGAGTTTGTACCCAAATAAGGCCATTCGATGTAATTGCTTTGGTTTTTAATACCACTAAGACTTTTTCTTTGTTTGGTATGGTTTGATCTTATCTCCATTTGGCTTTTAAAAGCAAATTCAGAGCATCAAACTGAACAAGCTTATCCTTCAAACTTG